TCTTGAACCCCAGCATTTCCGTCACTCTGGATTTGACATGGTTGTTTGTTGTGCTGTGAGCGACACAAAAGAAATCTGATTTGAGGGTCCAGACTGAGACACATCTGTCAAAATCGGACTGGAATCCCATTTTAAAACACTTTCACTAAATGTGGTTTGGATCTGATTTGCAAAAATCTGATTTGTTTTTACTGTCCAGACTATCAAAAATCAAGCTGGATACCCCAAAAATCTGATTTGTTTTTACTGTCAGACTATCAAAAATCAAGCTGGATACCCCAGAAATCTGATTTGTGCTGGTAGCCTGAACAAGGCCTAGTGGTCTGTAACTGTAATTCCCAATAGAAAGAAACACCACCAGGCTGTAATCATAGATGAGGACTGAAGCTCTGATAGGTTTATTTTATCTATCTGCACAGATGAACACCTTACTGTACATACTGCACTGTCTGCACACCTTATAGCACATCTGGACGCTCCACACCTGGACGCTTTATTTCAGTACCAGTATCTGCACATACTTATTCAGCATTGTCAGTATATGCTGTTACCTGCTCCTCCTTGTACAGTCATTACTGCACTGCCTTTTCATCTCAGGATGGATCTTATTGCATATTTTTGTATGTTTCTAGTTGTATATCTGCCTGTAGATGGTTTTTGTATATATTCTTATTTTTTTATACTGTATCACCCTTATTATTATAACTGTCCTGTGTTGAGAGACTCATACTGGCTGCTGAATTTCCATCCATCCGTTCTCATGGTGTTTTCAGCAGGGCAGCTTTAAAACGTGTTACAGTTACAGCACAAACGTCCAAGCGCTTCATGGGGCCACTGTGTTTGTATACAAACACTTACCTTCCTTTTGTTTATCTGTGTTTTGGATCTCCTTCCCACAGTGGGTTCTAGTGAAGATTGACAGCACTAGTAAACCGTTTTTCCATTCAGGCCCGGTCAGCAGGGCGAGCAGCGCACAGAGGGCTTTTCATTAACCAGCGGCAGCCGGAGAGCTAGAGATGACTTACACAAGGATTCCTCAGCAGGTATTGCGTTACCTGGTTCGGTTCACCTGGCCTGAGTCTATCAGATGCACCCGATTGAAGAACTCGGTCAGTGTGTAAGAACCACAACGCGCATTTATATTTACATTTCACACATATTTACAAATCAGACAGGAAACAAAATATCGATACAAAAGCTACAATATTACAAGTTATAAAAGACCTGAGTATACATTTAAATATGGTTCAAGGGTTTTTAGTAAAGAAACTGGTTCTATATAGAACCATGATCACTCAGAGAACCCTTTGCATGATTAAAGGGTTTCTTTGCATCGTTTTTTTAAGAGTGTACCTGATCACCAAGAGACCGGCGCTCGGCCACGCTACGAGGACTGATGATACCAAACAGAGGAAAACGGCGGAACGATATTTAAAGTCGTCTTATTTAACACTCGTATAACAGAAGCACTGAACACTCACAAACCGTGAACACATCAACTGGTTAGTGTTACATTCTCAGTGCCAAGTAGGCGAGAATCCTTTTCAGACGATACGATACGATACGATACGCTACGCATCTCGACACAGTTTACGATACAATACAAAAACAAAACAGGTAACGATTCGATACACTTCGACTCATTACTGAGCCGATATGGTTTGATTCAGGTCAGTTAAAATTCAGTATTGACATCCCCTGACACAATCAGATTTTCTGCAGTTATCAGATTATTAAGTGCATGTAAACACACTGAACCAGTTACTGACACAATCCGATATTCTGTAGTTATCAGATTATTAAGTGTAAACTCACTCTCACTCCAGCAGACTGTCATGTGAATCGATTTCTAACGGCTGTATTGATTTTTTTAGTCGTTTTCGTTTTTGATTTGAATCCAGGCTTATAAACCAAATCGATGCAGCTGTATCGGACACCGCTGGGCTGCTGAGCACAATGAAAAAACACAAGCAAACCTCTTTTAAAGATTTATTAACAAACACTGTAAATGTACCACACAAACCTTATTGTGTCTTCAGAAAACCTGCTGAACTGAAACAAACACAAAATCTTCAGAACACTCTGGTACTGCTGACAGTACAAACTGGGCTTAATTACAGTTGAAGGCCCGGCTGCTTTTTTTAGGGCCTAACCGAACGTAGAAACTCTGGTCGTCTTGCTTCACAGAAAGAACAGTTTTTCCGAGAGCTGGATGGCGGGTTCTGAATGCAGGTACTGGCCCGACAGGAAGGCCAGCTTGTGGGCGTATTTGCACGGCGCCGGGACGCGGACCGTTCCGGGCCAGTTCCAGTAGAGGTGGCACATTTTGAACGTCAACCTACATGTGAACATAAATATTACACACCGTTACAGACGGACACACTGACCCTGCTGGACACTGAGATAGGGCTGCACAATACATCGTTTCAGCATCGTCATCAAACTGTACCTGAACTACAGTCGCTTCGCAATCAGACACGTCATGCTACAGTTTTTTTGTTGCTTGATACAAAAGAAAACTCGCACGATTCTCCTTTTCCATAACTACAAGAGAAGTCTGATGTATTTTACTCCAATTTAAAGCAGCATTATGTGAAAATTGGCATTTGTTGCACCTTTGCTCCCCCTACTGTTGTGGAGTGGACTTTCACAGCACTGTCGTAAAATTAAATCTCACTTTGAGCGCCCCCTAATGGACAGGTGTGCACATGCATTTGTTAAGAAGCTGAAGGAAACAGAATCCGACTCCCCTCTCCCCATTTCGGATGTTTGTGTGTAAATCGTGTGTTATCTGTAGCGCCCATATGGCTGCGTGAGGCGAATGGGAGTCGGAATTCAGCACAACACCGACAAAAACATGAGAAGAGAAAGAACCATGTCAACTTTCAAGGCTCATTTGGCGTCGGATTGACAGACGACCAAACGTTTTGGCATGAGATGAATTTATTTCCTTGCATGCTAATTTAGCCTGAAACAGGACTGAGGTTAGACGACTTTTGGCATCTGGAAAAACTACAAAACTCCGTGAGACGGATCACTACAGCTAATGTGATGGTAGTTGGTGTGATGTGGAGCCGTGAAGTGTTACACAGTTCTGGCGAGAGGTTCTTGTGCTCCTCCAAAGTTACATAGTGCTATAGCAGGCGTTCCGGCCCGGAGTGCAACGACAGAGACGCCGTTCTCACTGTTACAAATCAGCATATCATCAAAATGACTTTGAGGCTGTTATTGTAAAGTAAAACTGTTACACAGTGTTGCTTTAAGGGCTTCTGGATTCACTGAAAACTTGTCACAGCTCTCACCTGTTTGGTGCACTGAAACCAAATTGTATAGCACTGCACTCAAAAAAAGTTTAGAGTAAAAAAACATTTTTCATCTCTTTAAAAAAATATTTTTATCTTCTATGTAGATGCAGCCCCCTACAAAATCGCCCCAATCACCGCAGAATGATTAATTCTTTCCAAACAGAGCTATTCACTGTGTGTGTATTTTATACATACATACATACATACATACATACATATACATACACACACATCGGGGGAAAAAATATTGCACGTTTATTCCAATATCGTGCAGCCATACATTCAAGCATGCTAATGCTTACAAGGATTATGCTCTGATCTATTTAAAGTCAAGGCATGAATAGAGACAGTAATAATCTAAATATATACATTCATCATTTACGGGGTTCTTTCTGTGGGAGGAGTCTGTTCCAAACCCAAACCCCTAAATTTACACTTCTGAAAATTAACCTTCATAAAACGTGTTTAAAAACTTGTGTTCTCTGCAAATTTATCTATAAATAATGAACTCTGATTTTAGTGCATGTAAGCTTGACACTTTTTTGTATACACAGCATCAGAAGTTATGGATTCTTTGTGGACAGACTCTTCTCTGTCTGATGTAATGGACTAATTAGCAGGAGCCTCACCCTGTAAACAGACGTCGATGTGAGCCTCCCTGACTGAATGTGTGTGCAGTACCTCTGCAGGTGGTCCGGAGTGAGGTTAGCCGTGTTGTAGATGGAGATGTAGTGGGTGGGGAACCCGCAGCCTTGGCGAATCGAGTGAGCCATGAGGTAGAAATCCACCCTGAGGATCAGCAGCAGGACAGTTTAATCCAGACTTACTGAAGTCCATGTACACATGAACAGACCACTCAGATTGAGGCCATTCCGAACACAGTTTCTGTCAGATTGAGTGAGGAGGGTAATCGGAATACATTCCCAATTGGAAAGTTGGAGTGCGTTCTGCGTGTGTTTGCATCAACATTCAATATGGCAGAGCTTGAAACTTTAAGGGTGTGCTGCACCAACATTAAGCTTAAACTGGAATTAAATGTTGCAAAGTTACTTTAAACTTTAATTCATTCAGGGATTAAATTTAAACTTCCAATTTCAAAATGTGTTTAAAACATTTGTGCTTTCTGCAGAACAGAAAACCTCTCTCTCTGTGAAACTATAACCCTCTTATAAAATGAAACAAACTTAGGACTGTATTATAAGTCACTCACTGAGGGTTAACAATTTCCCCACAAGGGGGAGCTATTAGCACTCATGTACCTTTGGTGTGCATCACTGAAGTAGAGGAAAATAAACAGTGGGATCTGATAGAGCGTTTCACACCAAACCACTCTGAACGACTGTTTACATCTTAACCACCTAATTATGCAGAAATTTAGAAAAATTGGTGGAGTTCCCCTTTCAGAGAGGGTATAAAGTGCACCTGCAGGACTGTTTCAGTGTCGATCAGCTGATCAAACTGAACACGTCTGTGCTGACCAGCGCAGGAGAGCGAGGAAAACAAACAGCGTTTAATCGACGTTTCTCATTTTTCATTATCATTAAAATTATCTAATGATAACATTTCACTGTAGACCTGTTCAACATTTTGGCATTAAAAATAAATAAATAAATGAATGAATGAATGAATGAATAAATAAATAAATAAATAAATAAATAATCCCAAATGCCCCCTCAACCCGGATATTTTTGGTGGCCAAATTCAGTTTGTGTGAAATAAAACAACAAATGATTAATTGTTTTATCATCACCAGGCAAAGCCTAATTGTAAAAATTTCCAAAACTTAAATATTTGTTTGAAATATTTTGTCTAAACTCAATATTTTGTCTTCCAAATTATAATTTCCAAATTTTAAAAACTTTTCAAATATTTTGGTTCCGTTTTTACCCTTTCAGTTCATTCCTCTCCTCTGAGTGTTTCAGTATAGACGAGGTTGAGGAAACTTTCTTACTACTTTCCTTCTTAGGCACCTTAAAAAAACCTAAAAGAACTAAGGAAAAGGTGGAGTTTGGAGTGGAAAAACTGAAATTATCCCGGCAATTTTCTCCCTGATCAAAACTGCTTTTTAAAAACACTAAAACAGTCACGTCTGGTTGGACACGAGTGAACTGAGCTTAACACCAAAAACTGCCTTCACCGGCAAAATTCCCAGCAGGTTCCAGAACTGAATTCTTATACACCAAATATCTGACAGCATCTTATCTCCAGTTAGGAAATCTTAACCTACTCAATCGAAGTCCATAATCAGCCGTCATGCTTGTTGCCTAGCAACCGACCATAAACACACAGCTGAAACATAAACCCATCAAAATAATGTTAAAATGTGAGTTAAGCTGCTGTTACTGATGTAAAAAAGGTCAAACAGAACTAAAGTGTGACAAATTGTGAGGTGTGAATACTGTTAGAGCGCCCCCTGCTGTTTATCAGAGCGTTGCCGCTCCCCAGTTTCAGTCTCCATTTCCCAAACGTTTTAGCCGAGCGCGCTAACGTTACTCCTCCTAATAAACAGACACACGTTCAGCTCCGTCTCCTCATTATTCACCACCATCACTGTAATATTTCATCATCAACATTAACACACGAAGGTGATCAGAGGGGCGGTGGAGATCGAGTCTGCAGCGTCTGAGATCTTTAAAACGCAGAGTTAGAAAAGAAAATCATCTCACAGTGAAAGCAGCGTTTTACAGTAGGAATAAATGGAGCTCATTATGCTGGTAGTGAACTATGCTGCTGACTCAGCTGCCTAAAAACCATAGAAACGGACCTTAAACAGAAGTGAGGACCCTGTTGGGGTTCATCCTAAAGTTAGGACAGGATTTAGGAGGTTTAGTCTAGTTAGGATGTTTGTGGAATGCTGTTTTCTTATCCGGAGTTCATGATGAGATCATGAAGTTAGGAGCTGTTATTCTGGAATAGCTGCTGTCCTAAACTGTCAGAGTTAGGATGTTCCTGTAATTGGGCTCCAGGTTCTAGGAGAGCAGAGCACTCACCAGTCTCTGTTCGTGACTGTGTGGTCGAGCACCGTTCCTGGTGGAGGCGTTCCGAATCGATCTCCTTCGCATGAGTACAGCGTCGTATTGATTCTCTTCTGCACCACGATGAAGGTCAGCTTCGGCTCGTAGTTCGGAAACGTCTCGAAACATTTGAGGATCTGAGGGATCTCGTAAAGCTCCACGGTTTTCAGCTGACCGTCCGATACTCCGTCCCGGTAGATCACGATCTTCTCTGGGAAGCTGTGGTTCACCTGGTGAATAACAACAATAATAACACTAATAATAATGAATGTGTGAGAAAAGCAGTCTCTCCTGGTAGCTTTCAGAGATGGGCCACACGGGCAGCTCTGTGGTCAGAAATGGACCCCAGAAACTGTGCTGTGTTCTACTCTAAAAAAGATGGTTCCTCAAGGGTTCTTTAGTGAAGAAAATGGTATTTTAAAGAACCATAAACACTCTTTACATCTGAACACGTTCTCTGCATAATGAACGGCTTCTTCAGATTGATGGAGATGGTTCTTTACCTAAAGGGCATCTATATGGCAGGCGTTTCTGATAAAAAGGCCAATGAGTGTAGGTCCAAGGTAGGTAAAATAAACTCTCAACTCTGTTGCATCAACAGTGCACATCACTGGGGTTAGAACACGTGCAGTACTACGTTCCTAAAGATGTTCTACTGTGGAGGAGAGTTTGTTCCAAATTGAAAACCAATCACCACAGCAATATTCAATCAGCTCATCCAGTGGAGCTGAGGTTCCCTTTAAAGGTGTCAGTTTAGTCATTACCGTCACACCCACAGATACCATGCTGGGTTCAGTCAGGCACGTCAATGGCGCCGCTGCTTTGGGGCGGTCAACATTTCTGCCCGACTGCATTCAGTACCCCTACAAAGCGGCAGTTAAAGAAAGGGACTGCCCACAATTACACTATTTCAAAAATACTGCATTCTGGGATACAATTATACACCGGTCAGGCATAACATTCTGACCACCTCCTTGTTTCTGCGCTCATTGTCCATTTGATCAGCTCCACTTACTATATAGGTGCACTTTGTAGTTCTACAGTTACAGACTGTAGTCCATCTGTTTCTCTGATACTTTGTTAGCCCCCTTTTACCCTGTTCTTCAGTGGTCAGGACCCCCATGGACCCTCACAGAGCAGGTACTATTTGGGTGGTGGGTCATTCTCAGCACTGCAGTAACACTGATGTGGTGGTGGTGGTGTGTTAGTGTGTGTTGTGCTGGTGCGAGTGGATCAGATACAGCAGTGCTGCTGGGGGGTGGGGGGTGGGGGGCATATAAATACACTTCACTGTGATATATACAGACTGTTGGTAATCTCAATTATAACGTGATATAAACTTTAATACAAATTTGGAAAAATGTGAAAATATGAGCCAAAATGAAAAACAAAACCTGTTTTCGTGTCTCGACCTCTTTACTAAAAAACAACAAATTAAAATGTAAGTAAATTTGAATTGAACACAATCCAGCTTGACTGAAGTGAAATGAAGTGAAAAACCTGACAGAATTTTTGCTTCTCAGTCTGGCTTCTACTCCAAACGTCACTACAGAAAAGTAACACTGAACTTCACTCTGACAGCATTTCAATGAGGAAAACCAGCTTTAAGTGCTGCACAGTGGAAATCAGTACAGATAACCTGTTTTCAATTCTGACACAAATTCAGCATTTTGTTTAAATGCAAATCTTCATGTATGGCTTTTCAGTAAAGAGGTCAAGCAACATGAAAACAGAGCAACATTGGTTTTCACGTATTCTGCATGTCACTATGGAAAAGTAAGGCCATGTTTTTACAAATTTGTATTCAAATTTATTTGGTATAAATAAGATTACTGACTGTTTCAGTATATATGACTGTATAGCACCCCACCCCCCCACCAAATAAAGCCATTTTGGAGGCTTAAGTAAACCTTTTTAGTAGATTAACAATGTCATATTATTCTGGATGTTTTTTCACATTTTTATAGTGACTGCCTTTCAATCTGGCACAAATTCCCCTCCATAATCTACAGTACAGTTTCTACTTTAAAAACAATCTGAAACACCAGAGGAATAATAAGACACTGAGTATTTAAAAGATGTTCTGCTTTGTGAGAAAAGCGATTCATTTGCACTTTTCAGTCTCACTTCCAGGAAAACAGACAGTGGAATGTAGGCAGGTGGTGAGACGCACGTTCACCACGGCGCATGAATCTTTTACCTCGTAATACTTCTGCAGGGCGGCCAGCAGACACACTCTGAAGCCGTTAATAATCTCCTCGTTGGGCATCTGGAACGTGACTCTGGAGTACCACCTCGTCAGCAGACTGACAAACGTGCAGAGACATGACGGAAAATTCACTGTCAGACACGCAATGATTGACGTTTCTTAATTTCTTTTCCCCGTATTAACTCTCCACGTCTTACATTCAGCTTAATTATTTCTGACTCGTAGCTCGCTGGAACAGAAACCGTGGACAGTGCAGATTCTGAACTTTCAGAGCATCACATCAGTGTTTGTACACAGAAGGAGGAGGAGGAGATGTTTTACTGGAGTCTGTGTGACTTTGGTCATTCAGTTTTCATTTCAAAACCACATTCATAGTACTGGATTACATCATTAAGACCACGCTGGTAGGCGAGCTGTAGCTCTGATGGAGCTGGTCTCATCACCGTTACTGCAGACACAGCCCTGCAGGAGGATAAACACCAACAACACTGACCAGAATGACCACAAACACACGAACAGATATGAGGACACTTTAGATGCGTCTCCAGAAACACCGAGACGATCAGCTGATTGGTGGATCCGTATGACCTGCACATCTCCAGAGTTCAGAACATTCCAGTGTGAGATTTTATTAAACTAATAATAAAATAATAAAAGCTTAAATAATAAACTCACAGAGTTTATGAACAGAGATATGAAGATGAAGCTTCTTATTCACCAGATTCTCATCTGAATTTTCCATTCCACCTTAAATGGAGCTGCAGTTACACTGAGGCGCCTTAAATGCAGAAGGAATTACGAAAGCTGGCGAATATGAAGCAACATCAGCTTAGCTTAAGAAATGCATTGATTTACCTCAATAAATGCTCCTTAATCATGTTTAATGAGCAGCTAACGAGCAGCACAGCAGAGCAGCTGGCTGATCTAACGCCGCGTCCCAAACCACATATTTTTACACACTATTAAGTGAGCTAGTATGCGGTTTGGGACGGGGCGCTAGTAACAGCTGGAAAATCTCAGCCGTTTAGATTTCATTTCATTTATTATCCCTACAGCAACAAATCAAATAAAACTTGTTTTCTTTGCTTCTGCATGTGTTCTGTGCGTTTATTTCTGGGTTAAGTGAAAGTCGAATAAATAAAATACAACCCTTTATTCCACTTTTGTTTCTTGTTATTTCCCTCAAAAGCTTTAAGCTATTTTTTTTTATTTTTCCACAGACAATAACAGAGCCAAGAAACAAGAATCGTCCCTTTTTTCTTGTTTTTCAATACTGGGTTTTGAAATGAAAGTCTAACGACCAAAGGTACACAAACCGAGTGGGACAGGGCTCGTAGCGTTCAACACTGCGGCTCCATCATACTTCAATGAAAAGAGCCAATCAGCTGCTAACTGGGGAAGGCACAAGTGGGGAAAAGCGCCCCTTGTGGTTGTGTATGGGTAGAAGCTGAAATAACCTAAAAAAAATACATTATTTGATTTGTTATTTGAGCCAAACACCAGAAACTATTACGCAGCTTTTAACGGTGATTTCAAATCTGTTTCAGAAAATATAGATTTCAGTTCAGGGTTTATAAATCTCTCCTCATTTAAGGTGCAGTGTGGGAGATTTAGGGGGATCTATTAGCAGAAATGGAATATAATAAACAAGAACATGCTTTCATTTGTGTATAATCAGCTGCAAATGGCTGTTATTCTTATCTTGCAATGAGATTTCCTAACTGGAGATAAGATGCTGTAAGATAAGATTCCTAAATTAAGATCAGATTTTGTTCTGTAATATGAATTAGTGAAAAATCTGATCTTGACCCGTCGGATCTGAACTTTGGACTAAATGAGCGGAAGTTTCTGTAATACGGCCACTGGGGGGCTCTGCTAACACTGCTGCTGAGTGTCCAGCCCTGGTCATGGAGATCTACCTTCCTGTCTACCAATCTGCCACTCCTGCTCCAGCTAATGAACTTCTTCAGAAGTCCTTGACTGTATTCATATTTGCAGCTCGATAAGTTTATTGTGCAGCATGCTGGCTGCACTAAAGTGGATCTCCAGGAGGAGATAAACAGTATATAACCTGTTCAGACTCGCCACGAATCCCATCACAGATCGGCTCTTCTTGCTGGTGTCGTGATGGACGTCCACGCCGATCACCATCAGGTGTTTCTGTTCAAATAATAAATAATAATGAAATATTAATAAAAATAATTCATCTGACTTGGTCAGTAAGATGCTGTCAGTGCTTGGTTGGATTAAGTGGAGTAACCTGCCTTAAACTCAACCCAATAAATAAATACATACATACATACATACTAGGGGTGGGAATCTCAGGCCCCTCACGATTCGATTACGATTCAGAGGCTGCGATGCGATTATAAAATGATTATCGATGCATCTTTTTTTTCTATACATGATTTCTATTTTCTTACTGTCTGAGGACTTGGTAGTTTTAAAGCAAAGTATCTGTGATGATCCATAATGCATTTACGTCCAATATCTTTTATTAATAAAACAAATGGAAGTGATGTGGTCAGTGAACTGGAAGGCTCTCATTCACTGTTCTTGTTTGGAGACGCTGCTGCCACTCATCTGAGATAAAATGCTCTGTTACGGTGAAATAAGATAAGTGGTGATGGATGACCACGGAGCGCGTTATATATTCTTTAGGGATTTCATTACTTCGGTTTGGTTTCGTGATAGAGGGGGGGGGCACGAAAGACTGCAGGTCACCTAGCAACGAGGTTTCGCCTGGCCAGTAGCGAACGAAAAAGGAAAAGAGAAAGACAGACGAACATTTGGAGATGAAAGGACTTATTCGCATTTATAAGCAGTGCAGTTTCCTGGTACGTTAAATCTGCAACGAGAGACTCAAACACTAACTAAAAGATGCGAAGCTGCGAAGATGAAGTCGCTTCTCTAATTTTCCCGTTCCACCTTAAATTTAAGGTGGAATGGGAAAGTTCAGCAAGAAGCTGGAGAATGAGAAGCGACTTCAGCCTCGTAAAACAGCGGAAAGCTGAGAGACATTTTACAAGAAACTATTCAACTTTTGAGGAAATGTTTTCTGGCGGAGTTGGAAGAAAAGCGGCTGTAGCTAAAGCTTAAAGCAGAGCAGAGTGAGTCTGCGTTTTCGTTTATATTGTTTAGCCTAAACTAGCACATTATCACATACTGGACATTAAATGTTGTGTCTCCCAAGGTGGTTTGACTTTGGTTGAAAGGTCAAAATGTCTCTTCTTATCATTTGTGTTGTGACTCCTGATCTAACCTGGCTTTAATGCAGAGGGAGCCGGTCGGATTTCTCACTCCTCCAGTGGTGTTTTTGTTATGTGCCGCCACAGACTGTCCGGGCGCTGCACTTCCACACTTCCAGTTCCGCCTTTTGCGTTCCGTCAACATTACGTTATCAATTAATATTTGGAAAATTGATTTTTGACATTTATGAATCGATTCAGAATCGTCCACGTCTGCATCGCGATGCATCTAAGAATCGATTTTTTCCGGCACCCCTAATACATACATACATAACACCCCGACAGGACACAAGGGGGCGTATTTCACCAAGTACAGCCACTGAGACATTCCTTCAGGGCAGTTAAAAATTTTTAGCTTAGGTAACTTAAATAATTATTTAATTGTTTACTTAGAAATCCTACTGAATGAATATTTTGAGGAACCAAATATGTATATTTTTCACTGCACTACTTTTGTGCTATCCAGCTTGATAAAGTAATCCTGTAATTTCAGTTTAATCCTCTCTATACTAAAGTTAGAGCGATTATTCTCACCAGGGGAACACTGACGGTCCACAGCTCTCCTCCCACCTTGCAGTTGATCTGCAGGAGGATTTTCTGAGCAATGCTGCGAAGCTTCTGAGGCTGAGAGATGGTCCTGACGTTGATGGCCTGCAGACAGACGCAGAAGAGAAAGACAAACGTGTTTTATAGTATTCATATTCCCATAAAGTGTTAAATACACACTACATGAAATCAGTATAATAATAATCTTTATTTATAGAGCACTTTTGGTGCTGATGGCAGCTCAAAGTGCTTCACAGATGGTGATAAAGCTCAACAGTAATAGAAGAAACTGAGCATTAATTTATAATAATGCAAGACAATAAATCACAGACAAGATAAACACAGTAGAGACAAAGAATTATAATTTTAAGTTGTGTGCATTTTTAGACTCTTTATCTAGAAAACTAAAAGTTTCTGTCTCCAAACTCAAACTCTATTCGTTCTATAAGGTTCTCTCTGTGAGCCAATCAGCACTTCGAACACACACAGGAGGACCAATCAGGTTCTGCTTCTCTGTCATGTCGCCGCTCTGCTCAGTGACGGCGGGAAAAGGTTATAAAACTTTATGAAATATGAAAACATGTTGCTGAAACTCTGCCTGTCTCCTTACAGCTCTTTAAAAACTCTTATTGTCTTAAATTTTATAAATATTGAGCCTTAAAGGTCGTTAAATAGTGAACATTTGAATTGATGGGCTCTTAATTACAACATAAACATTTATTTAATTAATTCATCCATCTTTTTTTTTATTCTTTCTCCCAAAATAAGACACTTTGGCTCATTAGAGTCTCATCTGTGATATTAACTAAACCTCACACGGCCTTTAGACTGACCGGCTACACTGACCTGCTGGGACGGTTTATTACAGCAGCTGTTTCTGTCTGACTAAAGGAAACTACTGGTTCCTAAAACTGACCTCTGCACTGGACAGAATATTTAGCACTGACCTTTATACTCAATCTGCAGAGCTTTTTGAATAAAAAAAAGATGGTTTGTCATAAAACAAGAAATTAATGTCATAAATAATAAAAATAAATGTCATAAAATGTAATAAAGCATTAAATTTAACTTACGTTTTAAAACATTCTTGAAAACTCGTTCGAAAGTTGCTTCTTTCGTGTTTTGCCAGATAGAACCTTATAACTCCAAGCAGAAAGTGGGTTCTCAGGGTTAGAAGGTTCTATCTGCTTTTGACCTGTTCCAAAAAACTCGCTGATAAATCTGATAGGATTTGATTTTGTACATTTGGAATAAATTCAGGGTGTCTGTCATTTTCATGTATTACATAGACGCGTTCCACATATCAGTTCTGCTATTTGGAATGCGAGATCTTTATCAGTATCTCAAAACTGCTCAGAACGCAGACAGAACCGTATAATTCTAAGGAGACGATTTATCGTTAGTGTGATAGATTAGCGCAGTACAGAATGCTATTCTGAACATATCGTGTACATCGTCAGTGCTTGTAGACACTGACCAACTCATCACAAACAGAGCAAATTTATCCGTTTAACTGGATTTAATGCCAAATACTGAATAAAAATCACTCTGTTCACAGTTTCTGACAGCATTTTTAAAAGGTAGGATCTTGTTTTTTATCTTTTCCAACTGATCACATTTCTAAAAAATGAACATCGTGACTTCACCCATACAATCAAAGCAAAATCAGAATTATGTGACACCATCAAAGACATCATTACTCATTTCCTTTTCTGTTTCGGACATAACATGTTTCAGCCCTGCTGCAGCACCCCAGGAGAGATGCTGTGCGTCCTGTTGTCCACCAGGGGGCATTAATGCACAGATTTAAAAAGGAATAAGGCCCATTCTTACACAAAATAAAGGAAAACTTCACTGCTTTCCTTACCTGCTCCCTGACGGAATAAAACGAAAAATTCTAACATACGAAATCAAATATGATGATTAAAGAGAACATCACCAATAAGAGGTACATACAGTCATGTGAAAAAATTAGGACACCCTATCAAAGCGTGTTTTTTTTAAACATATTTGGACATGTGGAAATAAAATATCAATTTTAACAATACTGAGAGATTCAAGTAATATAACTAAACAATTAAAACTGAGGAAAAGACTTTGAAAACTTTCTGTAAAGTGTAATTGAAAAAAAATGCAATTTCTGGTGAGGAATAAATTAGGACACCCTCACATTTATTCCCACTTACAATGGCTAAAATCTCACACAGCTGTATCACATCAGGCGCGCATGATTACAACATCGTTACTCAGCATTCTGAAGGAAGCTCGCCTTATTTAAACCTCAGACATTTAGTCTGTTGTGCTCCTGACCGTTGAAGTGGGAGTGAACACCATGGTGAGATCAGAAAGAAGATTGTAGCAGCTTGTGAGTCTAGTCATGGATTTAAAAAGATCTCAGAAGAATCTGAAATCAGCCTTCACTGTGAAAGTACTCTACAAGTGGAGAACATTCAAAACAACTGCCAACATGCCCAGGTCTGGCCAAGCAAGTTCACCCCGAGAGCAGACTGCAAGATGCTAAAAGAAGTCTCAAAAACCATAGAAGGTCATCACGGGACCTACAGCAGGCTTGGCTGCTGTTGATGTGAAAGTGCATGCCTGTACAATCAGAAAGACACTGCACAAGCTTAACTTTCATGGGAGGTGTGCAGGCAGGAAACCTTTGCTCTCTAAGAGAAACATGAAGGCCAGACTGAAGTTTGCCAGAGAGAACGTAGACAAAGACCAGGACTTCTGGAATAATGTTCTGTGGACAGATGAGTCTAATACTGAATTATTCTGACACCTTAACAGAAGGCATGTTTGGCGTAAACCAAATACAGCATTCCAGGAAAAGAACCTCATACCAACTGTGAAACATGGAGGTGGAAGTGTCATGGTTTGGGGATGCTTTGCTGCAGCAGGACCTGGCCAGCTCACCATCACAGAATCCACCATGAATTCTACCGTGTATCAGAGGCTGCTTGAGAAACATGTGAGACCATTTTTAAAAAAAGCAAAACTGGACACTGCAACATGGCAATGACCCAAAACATACCAGTAAATCCACCAAGGACTGGCTGAGAACTAAGAAACGGAGAGTCCTGGAACGGTCGAGTCAAAGCCCAGATCTTAATCCCACTGAGATGCTGTGGGGTGACGTGAAATGGGCTGTACATGCAAGAAACCCCTCAAACATCTCACAGCTGAAAGATTTCGGCGTTGAGGAGTGGGGCAAACTTGTCAGAGTGGTAGACGGCTACAAGAAGCGTCTCACTGAAGTTATTTCAGCCAAATGGGGGTAACAGTAGCTATTAGGGCGTAGGGTGTCCTAACTTTTTCCTCAGAATACACATTTTTGTTAATATTTTTTGTTTAATGAGTAAAACAAGGTTAATTTTTGTTGCTTACCTGCAATTAAATCACTTTCTTTTTCCAAGATAAATAAAAACAAGCTTAGACGGCGATATGTGAACATTTCTTAATAAAGAACTGAATATTTAATGGGGTGTCCTAATTTTTTTCATGACTGTACACAGGACATTGGAAAGAATACATAAGAGAGTAAAGTCCCTGAGACTTTGTCTGTGCAGACAACAAAGCAGAGGCCTTCAAGTGAACCCTGTGAACCTTAAGCCACAAGTAGGCTGTTGTATAAAGAGGTGGTTGATAAGCACCTAGGGAGCTGCTGGGAGATGCAGATTGACCTTTTTAATGATTAGATACCAAAAAGACCTTTTTAATGGGTGAAATTTATCTGGGTCCAAGAAGTGATAAATCTTTGATTAAATGATGGGCAAAACAGATTATGGCACATCAAAAGAGAGAGGGGATTACGTTATCTCTGAAAAGTGTATACAACCATGGAACTTTGTACACCGTATTTGCATTTGGTTTCCACAGACCTTACGTCCAAGCAATGCCTCGTGCTGAGCCTGAATAAAGACAGGCCTTTCTTCTCTTTCGACAAACCCAGCGTCTGACGCCTTTTTTGCAGATCCGAAACAGAATAATTACTAGGTGCAGGTAAACTGTGAGAGTGTGAGATTAAATTAACGCTGTCTTGAGGCACGACATCCTCCTCACCGATTTCACCACTGAAAGTTTGCTGTCCCATCACAGGTGTCTGGTTACAAAAAAGGATTTTACATTTTTTGTGATCCTGTAATTTGTGGTTTAAATGTGTCGCTGTTAAATTCGCGCTGCGCTGACTTTCTGTCAAAGTGTGTTTTCGTTTGGGTCTGAGCAGAAGCTGGTAGCTTTTCCAACTTCACAGACTTGAAACAAGCAGCGAAGGAAAGAACTGACAAAACCTAACACATCTGTACTCGGACTCTCGTCTGAAACCAGCTTCTCTCGCAGTAACTCTAATGGGCAGCACACTCTTTACTCTGCCTACAGATCATTTTACAGATCGCTGCTGTCAGAGCAAAACCTCGCATCTCCATTTTCGTTGTTTTGACATAATTTCAAAATGCCCAAATTGGAAATGGCCAAAAATAACATGGGGAAAAAAGTCTGGTTCCATTGACTTAAACTGAAAGTAAGATATGTTTTTTCTTTCTCCTGTAAAGTTATTATTGTGGAGACATGAGCTTTTGTTCCAACAGCAGTGAAATGCTCCTCTGACTGTACATACAACCCACATTTGCATTCTCTCCGCTCACTCTGAATATATGCATATCATATTTATATTTGCAACATCTGTTCTGTTCTTTTTTACCACTCTACCGTCCTTATTTGTACATATTGTAACTGTCAATTGTTGGTTAATTTCTTGCACTTTATATGTAAATATGTTTATATGCACTTCTGGTAACTGCATTTCACTGGCTCTGTACCTGAACTCTGTACCTGAACTCTGTAGCTATAACTCTGCACAATGACAAAGCTGACTCTAATCTAATCTAAAACTGTATGACCAAAAATTAACAGTAAAGGACTGAAGCCAAGAGATTCCAGTTCCGTTTCTCTAACAGTAAACAGCAGAAAAGGAATTAATTCCCTCATCCCGTTCTTTTCCTAAAACCACACAGCAGGCACGAGGCACAGATTTAAATGTTTGATGTGATCTTTCTAGTGTGCCCTGAGACTCGGGGTGATGAGCGCTGGACATGTGATGTTTCACTGCTAGTAACTTCATGACTTGAGCAAACAAACGTGAAGTAAAATCGTCTGTTTTAATTTTTACCCGATTTTTCTCCCCAATTTAGTCGTAGCCAATTCCACCCGCTAGTTAGGACTCCCCCAATCACACGATGCTACCAACGCTAGGAGGGTGAAGGCTAACACAGGCTTCCTCCGAGACCTGTGAAACCAACCACCGCTTCTTTTCGAACTGCCGCTCACGCAACGTCACTGGACAGCCGAACGCGCTCGGAGGAAAGCGCCAACCGCCAGATCTGTTACGTCAGCTAACAGACGCCTGCGCTGACTAGCATCGCGCTGAGTGATGGGGGGAGAAGGAGGGGCCATCCCACCCACCCAGAGAGAGCGAGGCCAGTTGTGCTCTCTCGGACTCCCGGCTACGGACGGCTGTAGCATCACCAGGGATCGAACTCGCGATCTCCTGACGAGGGCCAACGCTTAGGCGGCTGCGCCACTCGGGAGCCCCTAGTCTACTGTTTTTAACAGCCTCTTGCGCCGGGTGTCTGTAAAGAGAGTCAGTCGTTATGCTGACTATATGGCGCCGACGTGCCTCTAAAAGAGAAGGAAAGCTAGCTCTCCTGATGAATTCCCTCGTTTCATTACGTAGCGCGTTTCCATCAGCAGTGCACTGAGCCAGGGTTCGGTCTGAAGCAGACAGAGACCCTGTGTTTTTTTTTGCTGTTTCATCTGTTTGTTGCAGACCTGAATACAGGTGGAGTGTTCGCACACGTCAAAGCAGATCAAACTAAAGAAAAAGGTGTGATAAATCCTCACCAAACAAAAGCACCCTGAGAAACTTCTCCATCTCTGGCCAGCTGTCTGCACTGCATGCCGGTGGCTGCATCGCCTCAGACAGATGACATTTAATTAGCTACTGCTGAGATTTTATTTACTCGTACAGCTCTATTCATTTTTATATTGGCTATAACATGAAAACATTTAATTCTTAGATTTTTAATTACTAAGTTAGTCTATTTTCCACTTCTGTTTTTATTTTTTATGACAGTGACGTTACCGGCCCACGACGACTTACTGCCTCCCTCTACGTACAGACCCACGGACCGCTAGAGGATGCTTCATGGCCCACTGGCGGTCCACCACCCACAGGTTGAGAAACCCTGATCTAGTGTAAACTGGTCAGAGACTGGACTTCTCCCATAGCCAATGTGGAGAAAAGCTTTTTAATGAGCTGAGTTTAAGGCACAGTCGAGTTTATTCGCATTTAAAACTCTAAAAAATACCAAACTGATCACATTTTAAATTCAAACATGTTTACCTGCTGCTTCTTTACTGTCTCAGTGCAAACAGCAGAGAAAACAGCAGCAGCTCCACATTTGTTTATTTGGGTCTCCTAGTAACAGGAGAACGCCAGGGTTCGCACAAAATCTGTCTTGTGATGCCTAATCGTTTAGTGTGGGTCCCCAATATTTCTGCAATGTTTCTGCAGAAACCCGTCTGGTAGTGTGAGATGCCCCGTCTTTTATAATCTGCTAAGACTTTAAAAGTCGTGTAGTGAACTCCAGACTTCAGGATTTCTTTTCGATAGCTAGCTGAACGAGTTAAAGGATACAGGATGCATGTCTGTGTAAGCAGCGCTACAGCAGACGACACTGACGACTTTAAATTCACTCCGTCTCAGAGTTAAGATGATCTTAAATGTTTCAGAGCTCAGTAATGAAGCATGAAGAGACCTGTGAGGGACACGGACTCTGGACACAGCAGAGCTTCTTAATGGCGCTGTACAGGTCGTCTCTGTTTCCCGTGATTATGCACACCACCAGCTGCACGTTGGGCTGAAACAGAGCAGAGAGGACACGACTGGTCACACATCACAGCACCACTAATGCACTTTCACATATTTCTATCCAGCCACACAACAACAGTCTGTGGACTTCAGCGTTTCTTCTGAAATGAAGGTGTTAATAGTGAGTCTGTGCTGCAGTATCAGCCTCTACTCCTCTGGAAGGCTTCTAGATGTTGAACACTGCTGTGAGGATTTGATTGAGCGTTAGTGAGGTCAGGTACTGATGTTGGATGGTCAGTTCTGGATCACTAACTCATCCCAAAGGTATTGGATGGAGCTCCATCACTCCAGAGAACCCAGTTCCACTGATCCACAGCCCAATGCTGGGGGGCTTTATACCCCTCTAGCCCACGCTGGGCACTGGACATGGTGACCTTAGGATCATGTGCAGCTGATCCAAAGCATCACATTCTATTGGTCAGTGCTTTTATGTGGAGATTATACAAGCTGTGCCAGCGATGGGGAACCTTAAAGATACTGAATTCACTCATTAGAATTAGACTTTAAACTGTGTGGAGTTGTTCAGTGTCTCTAATAGACTTGATTATGTTGTTTCCGACACTGAGTGTGTTTACATGCACTTAATAATCTGATCATTATCTGATTTCTGTAGTTATCTGATTATTAAGTGGTCGTGTTAACACACTCTGATTTCCTAGGTCAGATTAAGGTCTATAAATCTGATTAGTAAGTCTGATAAAGAGGCTGATCTGAGTCAGTAATGGGGTTTCTCAGTGCTGTAAACTCTCACTCTGATTTCTTTCGTTTCTCTCAGTCTGAGCTTGTGTGAAAACAGAGCACCGTCCCGGAAACAGCGAGCGGCGTCTAACGCAGCGTCTAACGCAGCGTCTAACACAGCGTCTAACGCAGAATCCGTGGGACCAACACAGCACTTTTGGAGTGACACTGAAACACAACGCTGAAATATTCTTCATCTTCCAGATGTTTGTTCATATTTTCAGGTAAAGTAACTCGATGTTTTTAAAAAAGCCGCTCATGATGTTCCAGTTTTATGTTACGTTTACGCCACGTCTTATTCTGGGAGTTTATTGGCTGGTTGTGGATCAGAAATGGTTGTGCTGTTTTCATGCAAATCTGATTATCTGCTCAAACTGGGTCACATCAGTGAAAAGTGTAAATGGAATCCGGCCAAAGTAGATCCAGATGTGAAACGTGTTAATGTGAGGAGTGAACAGGCTCTATCAGACATCTGGAATGAGGGGAAAAGCGTACATTCAAAACCACTGCTTTAAATCCAGCTCACGCACCTCGCTGGTTAGCTGGGAGTGGATGCTCTTGACGTAGGTCTCCGTTCGGTCGTCACGGAGCTCCACGCGGATTGGCCGGTCCAGTTTGATTCCCAAGGGTCCCGCCACTTTCCCGAACATGGCCACCAGCTCCTCGGCCTGTTCCGCAGCCCTGCGCGGGTAGAAAACAGCCCAGCAGTACAGAGGGATCTGAGGGGGAACAGAGACAAAAAAGGTAAAAGAAACCAAGGTTGCAGATTGTTGATTAAAATATGAATCAGTATTAAAACATCACTGCTTTGGCTGCGTTTATAACACCGAAGCTACACGAGCAAACTGGTATATCTCACACCCTCATTATAAATACATAAAAAAATAAACAAAATCAAAAATAATATTTCATTTATGTATATAATAGTAATGTCCATATCAATAACAAATTATGAATAAATTAAAACGGAATTTAATAGTTTAAACTAAAATGAACATAACTATGACAAATTAACAGAAAAATCAAGAGATAAATGGCAAAAGAATTAAGAAAACAAAGCTTTGATTAAAAAGAAGAAAAGTAAAATAAAACCAAGATAATAAACCAATTCATGAGATTTCAACGTAAAGATAAACTAACAATGAAAACAGTCGAGTAAAAGGATTATAAAGAAAATAAAAACAGTAATAGAAGAGTAATAAAAACAAAACTTGGCTGAATGGGGAGCTAAGCAGCTGTAGACTGCATGGGCGGGGCTAAACTGGCATCTGGCATACAGGCATCATTAAATTCTATTTAATAAAACCGAGGATTAATTGGTTTTCCATGAAATGGAAAACGGAGACGGTCAGCAGCACCAGGAGCATCCACTGATTCTTCCTCTTTCTACTTCCTCCAACCGGAGCTACAGCGCCACCAAATTCTTATTTTTTGTTATTTTCTTTTTATTATGAAAAGACTTTTGAAAAGAAAAAGGATCACAAAATTCACATTGTATCACTCGGTTGTGTCACTGTCCTATTCGGCTGCTTCACTAATCCTCCTTTTATAATCCATGCTTTTCTTACAACCATAGATGTCATAAGATAACAGTAACGTCCATATCTAAAATAATACATTATGAAAAAATTAACATAAATTAAATTACTAAAAAAAGGGGTAAGGTGACAACCTACTACTGTAAATAAATATAACTGCCATTACAAACTGAATACAAAACTAAAAAAATATTATTTATGAACTAAAACAACAAAATTGTCTTGACTTTCTCTCAAAATTAGGTTCCCAATTTCTATCTCAGAACTATATACAATAGAAATGAGGTAGAGTACTCTTCAACTCCTTCAGACCACCGGTGCTTCCAAAACGCACCTCGTCATATTCTCCATAACTTTCATATTTCATAAGCTACATTCTAAAGGTGGGGGTCGTATGAGGCTGTAACTGTCTTCTCTCCAGTCAAATAGATGGTGATGTCATTTTAAACCCTTATAATAAAAGAAGCTGAACTCACAATTTTTTTTTCTACTGAAAGTCGACCCGTTTTTCACAAATCTGGGCTATAAACTATAAACAGATGGCGTCTCTTCAGTGATCTGATCTGTAAACATTATTATTATAAAATAATACAAAGAGCGTCTCAGATTTTTGGCTTTCAGCAGTAAATTGTAAGCATATAGTGATATGTGCATCATAAAACACATGTTCTGTTAATCTGAGGGGAACTTTTACCAAAAATAAATAAATAAATTAATTAAAAATTTACATTTATTTCATGCAGTTACTGAATAATTTGCCTTACAATTTGGTCATATGAATTCAGATGGACAAACCAAAATATACTCTGGAGAATAAGAGCTTAAATAGAAAGAAGACAAAGAGAATAACGGAGGTCATAAAGAACCTACATAAAGTTGCCGGGGTTGTATATAATTTATCCATTTAGACCAAATCAGTGTTTGTCAGTGTGAAATTCTTAAGGAAGCGTCACAAAAATTAAGCTGGCGCTTCAGTGTAAAAGCGTGAAAGGCGCCCTCTAGAGTCAGTGTTTGGTTTGTCTGCTCTGGGCTACTGTAGAAACATGGCGGCCTCTGCTGGAAGACGAGCCGCTCCCTATGTAGATATGAAGGGCTCATTTTAAACTTACGAGAACACAACGATTCGTAGTTACAGCTGATTATACACGAATCAACACATGGTTTTATTTATTATACTCCATTTCTGCTAATAGATCCCCCAAAATCTCTCACACTGCACCTTAAAAACTTCACTGTACGACAAACAGCATTCTGCTCCCACTCACAGTGCTGATGGAGGAGTCTCTGACCACCTCTCGGGACCAGTCCACGGACGGGGACGTGACGAAAGAAGCCGACTGCAGACAGATGGTCTCCATGGGCAGAGTCCTGCCCTGGGTCTGCACACACACACACACACACACACACACCCCACACACAGTAGGGCTGAATGATTTTTAAAAAAAATCTAATTGCGATTTTTCTGACCGATACTGCGATTATGATTTAAATTGCGATAGTTTTCTATTGAGGTCTTTCTTCGGCTGAGACCACCAGTGTGTACTTTTTCTGGTTAAGGCTTAAAGGCTCAACAGGCCAGCCTGCCAGTTATTTGTGGGTGTGATATCACGGCACACACATGTTTGGTTGCTTCTGATTAGTTAAATTCATCTAGAAGCAGTTCACAAGGGTTAAATTTCCACAATATATCAACATTGTTGATAAACTGTAAGATTATAATTAAAACTGCAGCTCTTGCGATCTGAAAAATTGCACTCTTTCAAATTGTGATTTCGATATTAACAACAATTAATATTTCAGCCCCGCCACACAGTTCATAAACACACAGGTGGGTTACAGCTGGGAGTTATCAGGTTAAATGTCTCCACCTCAACTTTGTTAAGACCATGCTGATGATAATGGAGGCCATAATTAAAACTGCAGCTCTCGCGATTTCAATATGAAAATGATTCATCTTTCAGCACTTCTATAAACTAATTTATAAACTCAAGGCACACTTATTTAAAATAAAGCGCAGGCCAATTAACTGCATTAATAATAAACATCTTCTGGTACCCTGATACTGTGATACGCTTGGAAAATATTGAGATATATAAGATTATGAATATTACACAGCCCTTGAACTGGGTGATATGACCAAATGTAATATCACAATACTTTTATACATCATGTCTCACAATATTATTTACAAAGTAACTTATCAGAACTATATACATATATTCCTATAGACGTCTGTCCTATGCAGACCTGGACCTATAACCAATAAACTATGGATAATTATTTAAATTCAATGGGGTGGTCCTGTTTTAATCGGCGTAACTTTTCTAGTCATTACGGTAGCTTTAGAGGCCCTGGAGGCTCACAGACCAATCACATGCATTGTAAATATCACACGTGACGCTACTCAGCCAATCAGATCTGTTCATTACGATGAGCACTGAGACTCGAGTGAGTGACGCACACACAGGGCGAGGCGAGACACAGCAGTCAGAGAAGAAAGTGAGTCAGAGAGACGTTATTTCACATGACGTGCTCTGAAAAGAGGAAACTGACAGTAAATGAAATGTTGAAATCTGACTGAACTGGACTTTATTTGATTTGATACTCAGTTGTTGACTGATAAGATGTTGATATACCTACTAGGCTCCTTCAGTAAACAGACTATGGCACTGAGTCATGATGTAAGTTAGACATGATGCTCCGGACCTTCGCTTGAGGATATTTTCTCTAACTGGACCTTACTGAATTGTAATTAAAGACCCCTGCTATAGACCCTGCTATAGACCCTGCGACGTACGAATATGTATGTGTGCCCGTCCTCACCACCAGTATCTCAGGGCTGATCTCCAGGCCCCAGCGCGAGAGCTCATGGAGAGCCTCCGGGTTGGTGCTGATGTTCTGCAGGAGCTGCTTTATGGAGTGCGTGTGCTGCTCCGCACTCACGTTAATGTGCATCGTCAGATCCTGAGAGGGAACAAAACAATCGAAGAGTCACCATTCCAATCAATCAATCTATATTTTTAATCAATTAAGTAACTTAACAACTAAAATCCTAAATGTACCTGATATTAATCTTTTCAAACTGTGCTTAATGAATGAGGATGCTTTTCTTGGTTTTTATTAACATGAACAGAAATCTGTTCAGGTCTTTCCAAAACTGAAGCGACAGCTGATAAAAGTTCCACTTTAAAGCCAGAGGTCATACGTTTTCTCCCTGTGTTGTGATGTCAGTGTTCATCAGCATTTATTGGTTGAAAAGAGTTTTAATATGTGCTTTTAACAGTGGTTTGGGCAAGAAAACTGTCCAATCATTATTTAGACAAAAGCTCTTTACATCAAAAAGACACTGTGATGAGCAGGATACTGAGTGCTGAAGATAAATATCCACAAAGCATTAATGAAGAGCTGCTTTATGATAAAATAAACATTTAAAGAGATTTTTTTCTTACTTTATTGAAAAATAACAGAAAACATAAAACAAAACATTTGAATGAAGGTGAGGCTTCGCTAAAAACAGGCAGTGTATATCTTACAAAGAAGCCCACTAATACACTCATAATACAGTCATAATTAATCTGCGCATGACCATCACCTTACAATTAAACAGCACTGTGGCTTGAAGGCTGATACATGTAAATGAGCTCTGTTCTGACTGGCTGCTGGGCTGAAACACCTCTTACAAGCTCAGCGTGAGTGGGCGTGGCTGAACTGCTGCATCTGAACATGCAGACTGTGTCAGTAACTGGTTCAGTGTGTTTTCATGCTCGAGTAATCAGATAATGGGGAAACTCTGGGTGTACATGAATCAGACAGTAATCGGATTTCTGCTTTACATCCAGCCAAAAAACTCACAGAAGACGTGACGTAAACGTTACGTAAAACTCGTGCTGAGCAGTCTGATTACAGATCTAAAATACAAGTCTCTATCAGATTTCTTAATCGGATTTTTAGGCCCAGTCCCATTTGTTCTTTTTACCCCTACCCCTTGTTTTCGAGTGTTGCCCCTTGGAACTGAGTTACAGGGTAGTGGCTGAGATCTTCCTCTGAAATGGGGAAAAACATCACTTCATTAACAGCTACCAGCGCTGCTCTGTAGGCGACCCTGCCAGTCTGCAGTGACAGCAGAGGAGGGTAAAGTTCAGCTCCTCACTGCTGGGCTTTAGTTACATTTAGGGCATCATATGATCTTTAAAGAGGGGGGCAATTATTTATTATCACCCACCCCTAATTCTTCAGTGATATGAAGCTGAAGCCAGATATTCACCAGATTCTAGATCAATTTTTTTTTTAATTTAGCGAGCTGCCAAGACATCAGCTACTACTGATTTTTTATTCTTGTTATGAAGAAAAGGACCATATTACACTGAAACCACATTAAACTAAGATAATACAGTGGTTATCGTAATTTATTAACAGAGAAAATTCTCACATTTGTGGGTTTATTTAGTCTCTTGTGCAGCCGTGTCGCTGTTATTTTCTTTTTTTCCTCCTAACTCTCAGTTTGGAGGGTCATGCAGCCCCAACACTTTGCCTACCCCTCTATCTCAACAAGAATCGGGACCCCCTACCCCTAGACACGAACACGCAGAACAGAGGGGTATGGCTGAGTGGTAGGGGCGAGGGGTGAAATGGGACTGGGCCCTAGACTTTATCCTGGTCTAAGAAATCAGAGTGTGCTGTTTACACGACCATTTAAATAATCAGACAACTGCAGAAATTCGATTATGAGTGTTTTTTTTTAAGTGCATATAAGAACCGACATCACACTGACTTCAAAACGAGGATATGGGCCCTTTTCAGTTAAACCACACAAACGGCGCTCACTACCTTCATGGCTCTGAAGTCCTTTCTCATTTTCACAGGGATGCCGGTCATGAAGGAGAGCTCAGGCAGCAGCAGAATCTCTCCTGTTATTACCTGCTGTGGAAAACATCAAAATACCAGAGGCATTAGAGTCCACTCGACCTGACAGGTATATTATACTGCCATTAAAACTGGATGTGTTTACTTCTATACAGCTGTAGGAATCATTTATGTAAGAAGGCGCTTTTTAAATGGTCAATATTGGGCGTAATTTAGTACCAATACAAAGCAAGTGTTTAGCTTTGGTTTATGCAATCAGTTCACAATTCCAAATGTGTCCATCAGGGGGCAGCATGTGGTAAGAATCAGTTTCCTTTCTGTTCTGACCGACAGGCCTTAGAGCAGCTCCTCAATTCACTCCTTCTAATTTTAAATCGTTTAATCAGAGCCTAGAAGAGAGTAACTACATGTACAGACAAGGCAGTGGAGCGTACATCTAGATCCTGAGGCTTCTTCCCTTCTGTGTAGTACATTTTGTTTTCTGGATATAATTTAGTCTAATCCTGAATAGGGTTACTCAGCAGAAATAAATAAGTAAATACGTTAAGAAATAAGTAAAAAAATGAATTAATACGTAAATAAAGTTGCTGCTGAGACAAAAATCTCATTTTTATCTATTTACTTTTTTGTTCTTCTGCATTTCTACATTGTGAGAAAATTTCATGATGAACAAAACAGAAAAGATCCAAAACTGCTTGGAAAACCATTTTTGAGGTTTGGGGGTCCCATTCGGGGGTCCCGTGTCTGTCTGCTGACTCTCTCTCCATAGCGGCACTGATGCTTCAGTGTCAGTAAATGTTTGTTTTATCAGCTGTTCTTCTGTAGAGTCTCTGTTCTAGTGCGGTTCTGCGCTCTTCCTCACATTAACTGAGATCTTCCTCGTCTCCTCTTCTGTAGAGTCTCTGTTCTAGTGCGGTTCTGCGCTCTTCCTCACAGTAACTGAGATCTTCCTCGTCTCCTCTTCTGTAGAGTCTCTGTTCTAGTGCGGTTCTGCGCTCTTCCTCACAGTAACTGAGATCTTCCTCGTCTCCTCTTCTGTAAAGTCTCTGTTCTAGTGCGGTTCTGCGCTCTTCCTCACAGTAACTGAGATCTTCCTCGTCTCCTCTTCTGTCTTCAGTGTGAGAAATGAGGAACAGTCACTCTTCACTCCAAACTCTTGGGAAACTGGGCGAGTTTTCAGATTTACAGATCTGCTGCAGCTCATTGTAAAGTGTTTCAGAGGAATCCAGGCAGAGTTACAGTTTCTAGGCTATGAAGGACCAACTGGGTGAACCAGTCTGCTACAGCGCCACCCTGAGGCAGAGCAGAGCTGCAGCTCTAGTTAGTTAAGATCACCAGAGACAGAAGCTGATTGTGGGAGAAGCAGATAAACAATCAGCTTCACTCAATCTGGACTTAAGCGTCTGTTTTTCCCTAATGAACAGCAGAACATCCTGTTTTTTTCAGGGGCCCCCAGAATTTTGACTGAGACATAATTAACCTCTTTTTTTTGCTCCAACTTCACGTTCCACGCAGATTGAGCGCTGTAACTAAAAGCTGCCTTGTGATGTTCAGACTGTAAAATCTGTAACAACACTGGTATTAAAAATCATAATATAGTATTGAAAATTCTTGTATGTCTAACACTCACTCATTCTGACCACCTCCTTGTTTCTATGCTCATTGTCCATTTTATCAGCTCCTGCAGTAACTGCAGCGACACTGACATGGTGGTGGTGTGTTAGTGTGTGTTGTGCTGGTCTGAGTGGATCAGACACAGCAGTGCTGCTGGAGTTTTAAACACCTCAGTGTCGCTGCTGGACTGAGAATCGTCCACCAACCAAAGATATCCAGCCAACAGCGTCCTGTGGGCAGCATCCTGTGACCACTGATGAAGGACTAGAGGACGACCAACACAAACTGTGCAGCAGCAGATGAGCTATCGTCTCTGACTGTACATCTACAAGGTGGACTGACGAGGTAGGAGTGTCTAATAGAGTGGACAGTGAGTGGACACAGTGTTTAAAAACTCCAGCAGCACTGCTGTGTCTGATCCACTCGTACCAGCACAACACACACTAACACACCACCACCACGTCAGTGTTACTGCAGTGCTGAGAATGATCCACCACCCAAATAGTACCTGCTCTGTGAGGGTCCATGGGGGTCCTGACCACTGAAGAACAGGGTAAAAGGGGGCTAACAAAGTATCAGAGAAACAGATGGACTACAGTCTGTAACTGTAGAACTACAAAGTGCACCTATATAGTAAGTGGAGCTGATAAAATGGACAATGAGCGCAGAAACAAGGAGGTGGTCAGAATGTTACGCCTGACCGGTGTTTAATGTGGAAAAGAAAAAGTGAAACTTCTTCAAAATGTTCTGTAACACATTCTGTCACAAACCTCTCACATATAATATCCACATCTTTCACATCCACAGGATTATTATTACCAACATCTGTAATTATTACTGACACTGAGTTATCAGCGACGGAGGGGCTTCTATTCTTACAGCTGCTCGTGTTCGAGTTACACAAACCCAGCAGGCTCTGCTGATGGAGTGTGAATCTAACAATGTGATTAATAATTATCACCACGGTAATTTTAACTCAGAGTGAACAGGGCATTAGATAACGCCCACACAGACAGAGGAGACCGGCCTGAAGCAGCAGCTCACCTTTCCTCCAGGTCTGGACCTTTCCTTCGGGCGATGGACCAGCATGGGCTGGTCCACTTCTTTTATCGTGATGCCGTAGTTCTTCCTGTAAAGAACAGAAGACGCTGAATCTGTACTGCAGTGTTTTAATCGTATAATGGACCAAACTCACTGACAAAATACTGTGATCAGAAAGCAGATCAATAGACTCTACTCTACTACTACTACTATCTTCTATGCTGTGAGGATTTGACTGCATTCAGCCACAAGAGCATCAGTGAGGTCAGGTACTGATGCTGGATGATCCGGCCTCTCACTGATTTTTGTTTTACTAAATTTCACTAATTTCTTATTTGATTTTCTAATTTAATGATTTTCTCTTTTTTGGGGGATTTTTCCTCAATTTTTTCCCCCAATTTAGTCGTCTCTAATTCCACCCACTTAGGACTCCCCCAGTCACACGATACTACCAACACTAGGAGGGTGAAGGCTAACACAGGCTTTCTCTGAGACCTGTGAAGCTCCACCACATCTTTTCGAGCTGCCGCTCGCGCTCGTCACAGCGACAACACTCAGATGGCTGCGCCACTCAGGAGCCCCATGATTTTACATGTTCTCAATCATGTTTTCTCTTCTGTAAAGCACTTTGAATGACAGCCGTGTATTAAAGGTGCTATATAAAGAAACTCGCCTTGCCTTACGGAATGACCAGCTCCATTATTATTATTAGTGATTGTGCGCTGCACTTAGAGATGAAACGATATTAAAATTTCATATCACGATTATCATGACCAAAATTATCACGATTATCGGTATTATCGCGATATTGTTCAAATGTGTTGAAAAGTAAAATAAATAAAAAAATAAATACTGATACACAAACTGAAACTCGTTTCACCAACTTTTATATTAACACAAATAGAATTGGCAGCAATATGCACTTTTTGTTTGCATAAACATTAAAAAATAAGGTCAATACATTTTTAGTATTACTTTTGTATTACTTACAATACTTGTAATACTCTGTAAACAAAATAATAGCAAATGTATTATAATTACTGTTATTATTATTACTGTTATAATAATAATAATAATAATAATAATATTATTATTATTATTATTATTATTAATTACAATAACTAGGGATTTCCCTGCATAGAGATTTAAATCGCGACCAACTCTGAGGTGCGTCTTAATGGAAAATTACTACTATTTAAAACTCAGCTGCTTGTTAATGATGATCGTGCTCGTTTGAACAGTAGCGCCCTCTGTAGGGGACACTGAGTGATTTGAGACGGTGTTATTCTCTTCTCAGACAGTAAACACTGAAAGCGAGACGAGCTGTGCAGATTGAACTTTGCAGCGTCTCGTTCCAGAGCTCATTTTGGAGACGCTGCTCCACAGAAATGTGTTAAAAGCTTTAGTTTCGATTCACAGCTGATTCACCGACTGTTTTTCTTTTTTTGACGCTAAAAACTTCATTTTATATGATTAACGAACCATAAACACAAGTTTAAACCACACAAACCGTGACATTTCTTCTATTTCGAAATCCCCACAGACTTTTCCGTTAGTTAACCTTGGATTCCTGCAGGTAGCGGGTGGTGGTCGCGAAGATGACTCGTAAGGTTTGATGTGTTGCCCCCTTTCGCCGCTATTTTCTTTCGGCCTGTTCTGCAGACAGGGTGGTCATCTGCAGACAGGGTGGTCATCTGCAGACAGGGTGGTCATCTGCAGACAGGGTGGTCATCTTCAATTAACTTTCCTTCTGCATCCTTATAAAACCCAAAACATGACCAAACGTCAGACTTGGTCTTCTTAGAAGGCTGAAATATCTCTGAATCTCCGAGTTTTTCACACCGCGGTAATCGACCGCGGTTTTAACGATACTGTAAAGTTCAAACGGTACTACTAACCGTCATTAATTTTACCGCGGTTTACCGTGAAACCGGTAACCGTTTCATCTCTAGCTGCACTGTTATCAGATTTATATACTTCTAATATAATTTCTACTACTTTTTTTTCTTATTTTTCTCAAGGATCGTTGTCCGACATCTCCTCCCTCAGTTTTCGAGATACCGGCACGTTCCAACTTCACAATGTTTGTTTTTTGCTGTTTTCGTACGATCTTTTCCCAAAGGAATGAACGGGGTAAAAACTGTACATCCATCTACTGTATTTCTGTTCAACATAAAGACACCATTTCGCACTCTCTGACTATCTCAGGGCGGGGCTCCGAGCATGAATTCAATGTTGTTCTGACCCGCACTCATCTGTTTGTCATTTCCCCCCCCCATCCCTCGTTTCTCCCATAGACTCCCATTCATTTTTGCCCCCAAATAAGCCAATTATTTCTTTGCCCGACAGCTACCAAACAGCGCGTTCACTCAGGGCAGGTCCTCAAGCTCTAAACTACAGCCACACTGACCCGCACTCATCTGTGTCACTGTTGCATTCCTTGCTCCTCCCATAGACTCCCATTCATTTTTGAGAACAACTAACAACCACTTGGCAACCGCCTAACAACCACTCAGTTCACACCCCTAGCATAGCAACTACCCTGAAACACGTTACCACAGAAATCAGCTTCAGCTGCGAAAATCTCTCCGCATTTTCCTTAGAAATGCACTATTCTAGTTATTTATTAAACACCAAGTCGATTCTGACTCCTGGTGACCACATGGGAAGTGTTTTTCCAGAATATCCCATCTTACAAAGCACCATCAGCCCAACGGGACTGTGGGTAAAGGAGCAGCAGATGAACCTGTAGTAGTCGATGAAGGTCATCTTGGAGCCGTCTGCCATGGTGAAGGTGTCTTTGGGGGATTTGGACCACTCGATGTCGTCGACGCGGTAGGTGCGGTTGTTGTAGCGCGTGATGACGATGGCGCCGGTGAACTCCTTGGTGCACTCGTCCTGAAAGCTCTCTCGGCTCTGCTGGTAGATCACGTTCCTACACACACACACACACACACACACACACACACACACACACACACAGCACCGAGCAAATCTCTGAGGCACATTGATTAAAGCCATTATCTGGGCAGTTTGTGCCACATAATGCTATTTTAAAAAGGCATGCAAATAAAAACAAACACAGAAAGAGAAAAAATTATTTTAGCGTATGTAGTAATGTGGTCGATATCTGGTGAGACAGTCTACAGAACAAAGTTCCAGATTCTCCTGGACGCCTTCAAACATGACAAGGATTTGTTGAAATCCAGCACATTTGATTGAATATACTAAAACACTAGTTAAAATAGGTCTTAGATGACGATTACAAATTATGCTGGGCTTCTTTGAGGAATGAAATGTATGTGTGTGTGTGTGTGCGTGTGTGTGTGTGTGTGTGTGTGTGTGTGTGTGTGTGTGTCGCTGCTGTCAGAAGAAAACCTCGTATCTCCGTTTTTGATGTTTTTTGAGTTTTGGACATAATTTGATAACACCTATTACCCTTTACATTGTGTGTAAATTTCATGATGAATGGACCAAAATAAACGACCCAAAATGACTTGAACAAAATTCTGGTTCCATTGACTTACATTAAAAGTACAGTGTGTTTTTTCCTTCTCCTGTAAAGTTACCATTTTGGAGATACAAGGTTTTGTTCTGACAACAGCAAAATATAGGGTGGCATGCGCCCGTCCCTTGGGCCCCGATGACGGCTGTGAGAGCTCCAAGCCCAGATGAAACCCTGTGAAGACAGCAGGGAGAGGATGAAATCTGTGAAAGTGAAGGCACGCGAGTCCCGAGCCCCGCCTCTTGGGCCCCGCCTTCGGTCCCGCGGCGAGGCCACTTTAATTTGACGCACGTTCGATCCCAGCGGCCGAGCTCTCTGTCCCTCTCGGCTCAGAAGCTCACGCTCCCCTTAATGAGAACCAGCTGATGCTGATCTGGGCACAGAGAGAGAGACGAGCAGCAGCAGCAAAGGAAAAGACCTGAAAAGCTTAGTGTTAGAGAAAAGGACTGAAAAGTCTACTTTTGGTTAAACTTTGGTTTTGAGTTGTTAAACATAAAATAATAATAAATAATAAAGTTAAATGGCTGCTGAAAACGTTTCTCCTGCCTCCATCAAGCACTTTTTTACTTGATGAAGGACCATCGTGAACGACCAAACGACGATCAGATTTAGGAATGGGCCACTTTTACCTGCAGACTGAACAAAGGCAGAAAGACTCAGAGACACTTACATGACGTCTAGAACCGAGTCATTCCGCAGCACTTTGTGCGACACGTCCACGCCGAGGTACAGTCCACCATCTGTGTGTTTAATACAGGTGGCGTAGCCTGGCCACACCTGCAGCCTGAAACAGAACACAATGCACACATTTAATACATGTTTTACAAAGAGATTAGAGACTTTTATGAAATTAAGTGGATTCTGCGTTCAGATTCCGTGAGCATTAGCGCTGCTACGATTAACCAACTAAAAAATCAACTGTTGGAATGTATCTCCTCGATGAACAGGCAGTGATTATGATGATAATCCCTATTTTAAATTCTCCCTCTGTCTCTCTTACAGCAAGGATGGAGACAGACATTTATATGCACTTCTTAACCACACAGTATAAATATATATATTTAATGAAGTCTTTTTAAAAGGCTTCCCAGTTTATCTTTCTCCAGTAGAGTACTCTGAAAGGCTCTACACCAGGGGTGTCCAAACACCAGCTCAAAATACCTGAGGGCCAAAATATTATTCACAAGTGATTCAAAATAATAAGCTTTCAAAGTATCCGAGTACAGAATCAGAGCTTGTGAGCTGCCGTTTCCCATCACTGAATAAAAGATGCACAAGGCCTCTTTTACTGTGGCTCAGAGCAGTTTGGATCAGTTTGGAGCAGTTAGTAAGTGTTTAAAACAATTAAGTAATTTATTTAAGAGTAACAACAAAATATGAATAATCTATTAATTGTATTCCAGTATTTCCTTTTTCAAAAATATAATTTACAACATAAACTAAACCAAAATCTGTAAATCTTTGGTTTTATTAATGTTATTTACATATCAAATTAGTGCAGCGACATCATTCAGAATTCATTTATTAAAGGAGAGGATCAGATTAAAAAGCAGCCGTTATTATTCCTCCTTAAAGGGTTAATAAGGCTCTTAAACTTTAGCTACTTCATTACCGCAGTGCATTGTTACACTGGAATCTTACAGCACTGCTGCCACCATCAGGTGAGAGGAAGAACTGCAGCCAACTGGCTGGAGGGTCCGAAGGGCAGAGAAGAGAAGACTGACTTTGGACACGTCCAAAGTTTGACCGTTTACAGTTTGAAATTATTCAGTTTATTATTTAGCCTCTTTTAAAAACTAACAACATTTAATAAATAATCCAGTTATTAGTGAAGGAACAAATCTAATTGTTACAGCTGTCTGAGTGACAGAAACCCAGCAAAGTATGCTGAGTATAATTAGCGAGCGCACACTAAGTTTCTTTATACGTGGTTAACTCAAGCCTGGCGGGTAAATTTGAGTACAAACGTTTAACGACCCGAAACAAATGACTGATTTGCGGTTAACTAATCAAAACTCTTATTATCATCTATAATACCAAATAATAAAGATAAAATAGACAATAACAATATTACTTTTCATCCTAGGCGTCTAAATGATCAAACTCATGTTTGGTAGGATCGCGTATCAATTTGAGCGTAATAGTTTAACAACCTGGAAAAATACTTAAGTTGCTGGTTAACGAACCAAAACTACTATCAATTCCACCTATTAATACCAAAAATAAGAATAAAAACAGAAAATAACAATATTACTGGCAATCCAGTGTGAAAGTGGTTGTAGTCATTTTACATACTTTTGTTTTATACCACTGACACCAATGCACAGCTAGTGCAGACGCATCTCATTCACTGCAATAATACAGTTTAAATTAATCTAAATTTAAAAGTTAATCCTCTCCGGGGTGAAGTATTCTGGGGTCTTTGAAAGGCTCTACATAGTTCACGGTTAATAATTCTTCAGTTTATGTTTGGCCTTTTGTCAAAAAACGAACATTTAAAAAAAAATAATAAAGTTAGTGACGTAACATTTAATTTTTCAGCTGCATTTGAGTAACAAACCCAGCAAATTGTTCGTGGATTACTGATATAAGAGACAGTGACCGCCCTGTGTGAACATATCGTACCAAATTTTCTTATTTATAATTTGCTTAGTAAGTGATAAATACCTGTGCTTTCCAAGAACAACAGCACTGTTTGGATCATAATGATTCCTTCCCACCAGCTTCAGCCCCAAAATCCTCATCACTCTACAGAAGAGGGAGAAAAAGCCAGACAGAAAAAAGGGTGGTGTTAATGTCCTCTCATATCAGGGCTATTCATACGGTCAGTACCTCAGAAGCACTGACCAACTGCAGGGATCATTAAAGACGACCCTCCGTCGTTCAGTCTTAAGGCCTTTACGCTCTCAACGTGTGATTTATTTCACTTTCTGTTGATTTTTTGCAAACTGGTGGTGACATGAACTCACTAACCAATCACGGTCACTTCTGCTGTTGGCATGACGACAGCCAACATGACGTAGCAGCTGTGCTTCAGCAAACAGAAGATTTTGCAAACGCTAAAAGGACCAGAATCTCCGAAAGCAGCTCAAACTGAGCTACAAACAGAGTTAAATGTGGAAGAACTCAGAGTTTCAGCTTCTGAAGGAAGTGATGAAGATCATGTTACTTTCACTTTTCCAGAATAGACAGCAGCCCAGCGCCACCGTCTCTGGGGTGGTCAGTCCATCGTTCAGCTTCTTTGTTTGATGTGTCCGTCTCCTTTTCTCAGTGAGGTTCTTCTTGATCAGCTACACATCCTTTCAGACCCACAGCGCTGAGTCGTCTTCTCACAGTGGAAGGATGGACAGAAACACCTGTGGATGTTTTCAGATCTGATCAGCTTGATTTTCTCCTCTCTCTCAGAGATGAAAGCTTTAAGTGCTGTTTATCTGATGGGGGCAGTTTTGGGGTCGACCAGCTCTTCCAGGTGGTTGTGAAGCAATATGTTCTGTTATTGCTCAGCAAATCTCATAAGCAAAATATTGTGATACACATTGTGTATCGTGATATTTCTGCCATATCGTTCAGCCATAATGATGCGACTCATGACGTCTCGCCGTTTCCTCGACTGCTCTCTCCACGGCGTCGGAGGACACTGAGCATCTCTCCATCTCACCTCCCAAACAGCTGAGCCGCCCAGGAGAGCGTGATTCTCTCTCCGGGCTAAAAGAGAGCGAGCGCTTCCGGCAGAGAACAAAGGGCAGATTAGATGAAGAACTCTGCAGACACGGTCGACTCCAGGCAGCAGTGACCCTCCATCAGGGGGGCCGAGAGAACGCAGGAGAACAAAACTGGAGCCAAATTTAGAGCCTGTTCTGCAGAAACAACACTGCTGAAGAGTAAAGCTGTTCAGTATTGTATTCAAAAAGAAAGAGAACATTGGGGGGGGGGCACAAGAGAGAGAGAGAGAATGACAGATAAAAGACGAAGAAAGAACAGAAAGAAGAGAGGGCGAGCACAAACGAGACCAAGAAAAGCGCACAAAGAAAGAAAGAATAAGAAAAGAGAGCAGGAACAGAGAAAGAGGAAAGCTTGGGATTATGAGTGAGAAAGAAGAGAAATAAGGTGAAAGAGAAAATAGTAGGAAATGGAGGAAGAAAGACAGATGAGTTAGAGAAAAACAGAATCAGATACAAAAGTAACAGAAATAAAAATGAATGACGGAGGAAGAAGTTTAAATAAATAATAAAAAAAGCGTGAACAAGAAAAATTAGGTGAAAGAAATAAAAACGGAGTCTAAAGATTTCAGTAAAAAGATAAGAGATCTTAGAGTTGTAACAGTTGTAAGATTTAAGGATTTTCCTTGATTGATTTTTAACATTAAATAAATATCTAAAGCAGCTGATTTCAGACTTTATTCAAACTCAAGCATTGAAAATGCTGATTCAACTGCATTTCCGATATGGGCGTTAATAAAGAGACTTAATTCAAACGCAAAATGTGTTTCTGCATTTGCATTTCTGTGCACAGCAGCTGTTAAAGTTAATATGAAAAGCAAAGAGCTTCTCACATTTCATTTTCATTGTCTTGATGGTCTGACTGACATTAAAAAAGGAAAAACGATCCCTGATTTGCAGATTCATTTCCTGCGTTGCGCTCCAGCTCTGCCCAAATGTCACAGCACTCCTGTCAATCAATCAAAGGTTGTGGGTGGGACGTCAGGGGGGACTTTTTACCGCTGGGCGTGTTTTAGGAGGAAGTGACGAGTCTAAACTTTGGGAAGGTGGTTGTTAAAATACAGCAACCGGCACTACTGACGCTTAAACAGAAACGCACACACCTCCACCTGAAGATGAATTCTGCGTTAATCCACACTGGAGATGCAACTGTAAACACACAGTAGTGATGAAATGGTGACCAGTTTCTTGGTATAAAACAGTACAATTCCAGTTGGTTAGCAATGCCGTAGTCGATCACTGCGCTTTGAAAAACTGTTAAATACATTCCAGCATCAACCAAATTAGTACCAGCACGCAGCGTGGGTCTGTTCGAGTGTAAACATGGTGGAACCCTTTGGAAATATTTCAGCCTCCTCAGAGGAGGGTCATCCTCCATTTGGAGTGCGAAAGGTCACAGCGCTTAAACGATGCTTAAAATATCAGTCACAGCTCCAAAAGTCAGTATGTACATTTACACAGTCGACCTGAGGTTAAATGACACTTTTCCCTCGGGATTCTCTGATTTTTCTCTTTTAATCCTGTTTCATAGTCGCTCTGCATCTGTAAAACAGCTCGTCACAAACCAATTTTCAACATTTGAGAAAACATTTTTAATATAAAACAATATTTTAAAGAGGTTTAACTGAGGAACTGGTATAAAAAGTAAACATGAATCTGTTTTACATCATTAGCGTTATACTATATTTAAAAACGTATTTTATTGAAAAAATTAGTTTGTCACAGATTGTGGTCACTGGTGTTATCAGGACTCTTATTTTAGATTTTGTCACAGTATTTTCAGCTCTATTAAACTGCTTCTTTGGGTCGAGGCTCAGAGAGGAAGCAGCTCAAGGCCTGAGAAGGCGAGTCAGACTCGCTCACTATATTTCATTAATTTATTAATAATTTTGTTTATCAGGCAGCTCATAACTTCTATATGTTGCAGGGTTTGTGCTTTAATGGCTGGGTAATTAAAATAATGCCACATGTAATTTCTATTACTGGCTTTAAATACACAAGGTCACCTGATGGCCAATGACTCAGCCAATTTACAGAATCCTCAGTTTTAAACAGAATGTCACTGGAATCACCGTCACTGGGGTCGCCGTCACTGGGGTCGCCGTCACTGGAGTTACACCATACTCATACAACACCAGTGACTGTAAACTATGTATGGAATTCAGCTTCTTTCTGCATGTACGATAATAGGAGATGTTAATAGACATATTAAGATTATTTAATTTTGGGATGAAAGAAATCATTTATTTTCAAAACGTTTCCACCTGAATTCCCACTCCAAATGGAGAACGACCCAGGACTGAGTTTAAACTGCATTCATATTTTGGTTTTTACATGAGTGCAGAGGGAAACCTGAGTGAAGATGGTCTGCAGAGCATGCAGAAAGGGGGCAACACTTCAAATCTTAACAGTCATCTTCGTGACCTCCACCTCCACTTTATAGCGGCTGTGTTCTGACGAATGGCGCCACCACCTTAATCAAAACAGCCTACCAGATTTTAAAACTGTCAAGCTGAAGTCGGCTCCTCGTTCACCAGCTTCTTGTTCGAATTTTCCCGTTCCACCTTAAATGAGGCAGCAGTTATTATAATGCCTCAAGAACCAGAATGTAACTGCTGCACCATTTAAGGTGGAACGGGAAAATATGACCAAGAACCCGGCGGACAGGAAGCCGACTTCAGCCTCGTTCTGAAACTGCAGGATAGTCCGATAGTCTAAATGTCCTTATCAGAAATTATTACCAGCATAATGAAAATAATTAGGACAGCCTAAACCAGCTAATCAGAGGGGGAACTAGTAGCTGAGTCTGAACTGAATTAACACTAAAAACATAATAAACCCTCATGTTTAAACTGCTTGAACCTCTCCAAGCCACATGATGCCACCTTTAATGTTAGTACATATTTGATGTGGTTTTCACGTTTATATAAGGTATTGACTATACCATTATATTAATATATCATTATATTAATGTTTATGCAAACAAAACACACACAGCTGCTAATTTTGTGTGGTTTTCATTGTAAAAACTGGTGAAAAGATTTCAGTTTGTGTATCAATCAACGCATATTGCACTGTCACTTTGTTTATACATCCATAAATATTTCATATTACAACTGTTAACATGGGTTATAGTTTACACTGCATAGTCACTCGGCTCACTCACTGGAGGAGACATGCGCCACTGCACTGTCACAGTATTTATGTGATTCTACTACTCATTTTTGTATTGCACATCATATAGCTATTGTCGTTTCAGTATATTTTATCTATCTTTACTTCAGCAGTAGAACACAGAGGGAGTGTGTTATTGTGAAATAACATCACAGCTGTGATTTGGTCGCCGTAGATCATCACAGCCGTGATGTTATTGGCGATAACACACTCCTCGAGTGTTCTATTGCTTTAATACAACAGTTAAATAAATACAGTAATAAATTAATAAACTGGGCCGTGAACGGGGCGTTTAATATGTTTTAATGTTCGCAGTTCCTTCACCAAATTATAGTTCCTTAACGAGCAGCTCGTTGCTACGTCAGAGTAACGAGCTCCGCCCACTCACTGCACAGCCGGCAGTTCGTTCTCCAGCTCCTTACACTAAATTCCCAAACTGTCATCACCACTGAGCAGCTTTTCAGTCGGCAGCTGTGACAGAAGAACAGCTAAACAACCTGGAATCAGCCAGAAATGAACCCAACACCATTCGCCAAACTAAATGGGCTGTAAGATGCTTTACAGACTGGCTGGAACAAAACAACATTAATACTGATCTGGCAAAAACTGACAAAACTGAGCTGAACCTGATATTGCGGCAGTTTTATGGCTCAGTCTGATTTGGTCAGACTCTGAAGATCAGACTACACGTTTGGCGAATGGTATTGGGTTCATTTCTGGCTGATTCCAGGTTGTTCAGCTGTTCTTCTGTCACAGCTGCCGACTGAAAAGCTGCTCAGTGGTGATGACAGTTTGGGAATTTAGTGTCGTCTCATCTTCAGAGTCTGATCAAATCGGCTGTCGGTCAAATGTGATCTTAGAAGTGTCCGTTTTCTGTTTGTGGCAAAGTAAGAAGTAAAAACGTTCAAATGTCTTGAGCGTCTCCTACAGCTGTCAAAGTCGTTGCTTAGCAACAGCATCTACGTGTGATACAGTGTTCGTGAAAAACCCGTGATATTATGGTGAAATAACAGCAGTTAGAACGCTTCTCAACCAATCAGCTTGCGTGGCCGGAACTGACTGTTGCATAATTCTATTTATCTGTCTGTAAATAGCCTACGGCAATACTTTTGCTCCTGTTTTGCTCGTTTTGCTCTTTACTGTACTTCGCGCTGCTGTAACAGACAAGTTTCCCTATGGGATTAATAAAGTGATTTTTTATCCATCTATTTATCTATCTATCTATGTATCTATAAACATTTTCAGCACTTTTTAACAATACCACGATAATACTGATAACCGATAACCTTGCCAAGTATAATCGTGATACTCAATTTTCACACTGTTTCATCTCTAATACACAACTGAATCTGCACTTTCAAAGCTGCAGCTGAATGTGAATAAAGCCTTGAATGTGCTGCCACATTCATCATTTACTCAGTCAAGGCATAAAACACAAAATACACATCATTTTTCCCCTCAAACAGAACTTTCTTTCAGCCAGGTGTCTAACTGCGCGAGCTGTCTGAGAGCTGGATGTGGGATTCATTTGCTAGTTTCACTCACTGTAGGGTCATGTAACCATGATACAGGTCTCTGTGGTCAGCACAGTCCAGCAGGCAGTTGCGAGAGCTACAGGACTGACCAAAGCTGTGCTTTATTTACCGTTCTTCTCCCCTGAAGCCTCCACACTCTTAAAGCTAGAATACGTTAATGAGCTCCTGAAACCCCTCACTCTTGATTAGCATCATGTTTTTTCCAGTCATCCTGCAGGTTCTCTCTGCAGTTGCCATAGTGATGTTTGGCTGTGATGCGTCACCCCTGGCAACACGACTGAGTTCTGTTTATTTAGACAACATATTAACGGACACGTGGTGGAAATACTGGGGGAGACTGTTTACTATAAAATGCTAGGACTGTTTCGCAGCTTCGCGTCTCACTGCATTGCGTACACAGAGCCCCCTTGTGTAGAATTTAAAATTATGAAAAATTTTAAAAAGGGATCTGATTTTTAACAATTCTGCATAATTAAGTGGTTAAGATGTAAACAGAGTCGTTCAGAGTGGTTTGGTGTGAAACGCTCTGTTCTAGATAAACTTAGAGTCAGAACTGTTCACAGTGGTGGTGATAGGAACCAGACGTCCACCTCTAAAAGCTCCCTCACAGAAAGTTCCTACAGGAAATGGTTATGAATTCACTGCCTGATGACTGAGACACTGTTTTATGATAGTTTAGAGAACTTAAACTCCATTCATGGTGGAGGGATACATGCAGGGCGCTGTGAGGCAAAATAGTCCCCAAAGAAAACTTATTATTTCAGATTTTCCACTATTTTCCATCATCAACATTCCATATAAACTCAGAAGACTCGTGTAGGTTCACTGGTGGTTCTGGATAGTAAATAAAATGTCTATATTTGTGTTGTAGTCATGGCGACCCCTGGTTCCCATCACCACCACTGTAAAGACATCTGAACCATTTCACACCAAACCTCTCTGAATCACTCTGACTACATCTCACACACTGAATTATGGGGGAATTTAAAAAAAATAGGGGAAAGGTCATCATACCTGCACATAATGTACTGTGAGCGCACACTACGCCCAAGAACGAACACTCACTCCACTGTTCTTGTAATATTCTGAAGGGACATTTAAAGGTTTGTAACGTCGCTCCTGTTCTGCAGCCGAAATCCTCAGACGGTTCAGTTTAATTCTGCACTAGTTCGGGTTCATGTTAACGAAGAGCCAATCAGCGCTCGCCTGATACACAGTATAAACACCATCTTTGAGTCACAATGAAAATACATTTAGTATAAATCAGCACTATTTAAATTAGCCTAACAGAAGATCTAAAGCACATTTAATAGTATATTAATAAATTCTTAGTCACTTTTTGCCAATGATATACTGTTAACAACCCTAACTGATAGATACATAGACAGACAGATAGATAGATAGATAGATAGACAGATAGACAGACAGATAAACAGATAGACAGACAAACAGATAAATAAATAAAGAGAATCAAAAAAGCACAGATAGACAGATACATGGATAGACAGACAGACAAACAGATAAATAAAGAGAATCAAAGAAGCATAGACAAATAAATAGACAGATAGATAAACGGGTAGACAGACAGATACATACATAGACAGATATATAGACAGATAGACAGATAGATAGCTAGATTGATAGACGGACAGACAGACAGATAGATAGATAAATAAAGAGAATCACAGAAGCACGAAGCCATTTGATGGCGGAGCAGCTTCAGCTGAAACTGGGCCAGAACTCGAACACTGTCTGGAACAGCTGAGGGTCCTGAAAGCACGTTATCATTTTATTCCCAGAGATCTGCTGTCCTAATGCTGTTACCATGGCAATCCAGCAGATCATAACAAAACAGAGCTGTACATCTCTCATTGGAAATGAGAGGAGAAAAAAATGTGAACAATTTCTAGTTTATGCTGCAGCTTCTGCAAACACGCCAAACAATAAACAAATCAGAACATATAATACGAACAAACGAGCCGTACTGTGATTATACTGGGATGTGCTGCAAGGGTGACTGGTTTTTATACTGGAGAATAAATAATGTAACCTGGTTGAAGTTCTACATCATTTTAACAAAAATAAGCAGGGCAGACAGCTCTGAGCACCGCTCCAGTGGTTACCCTGCTCAGGGTCGCAGAACCGTTCTGGCGGGACGGATTAATGACGCAGCTATTTCAATCACAAATCTGGCTAATGGATCATAAAAGCATAGTGACACCGGTCAGGCATAACATTATGACCACCTCCTTGTTTCTACGCTCATTGTCCATTTTATCAGCTCCACTTACTATATAGGTGCACTTTGTAGTTCTACAGTTACAGACTGTAGTCCATCTGTTTCTCTGATACTTTGTTACCCTGTTCTTCAGTGGTCAGGACCCCCATGGACCCTCACAGAGCAGGTACTATTTGGGTGGTGGGTCATTCTCAGCAGTGCAGTAACACTGACGGGGTGGCGGTGTATTAGTGTGTGTTGCGCTGGTCTGAGTGGATCAGACACAGCAGTGCTGCTGGAGTGTCCACTCACTGTCCACTCTATTAGACACTCCTACCTTGTCGGTCCACCTTGTAGATGTAAAGTCAGAGACGATAGCTCATCTGCTGCTGCACAGTTTGTGTTGGTCATCCTCTAGTCCTTCATCAGTGGTCACAGGACGCTGTTGGCTGGATATTTTTGGTTGGTGGACTATTCTCAGTCCAGCAGTGACACTGAGGTGTTTAAAACTCCAGCAGCACTGCTGTGTCTGATCCACTCAGACCAGCACAACACACACTAACACACCACCACCACATCAGTGTTACTGCAGTGCTGAGAATGACCCACCACCCAAACAGTACCTGCTCTGTGAGGGTCCATGGGGGTCCTGACCACTGAAGAACAGGGTAAAAGGGGGCTAACAAAGTATCAGAGAAACAGATGGACTACAGTCTGTAACTGTAGAACTACAGAGTGCACCTATATAGTAAGTGGAGCTGATAAAATGGACAATGAGTGTAGAAACAAGGAGGTGGTCATGATGTAATGCCTGACCGGTGTATTGTGATGTTATTTATCACGATAACGATAAATGCGGTCATACTGCTCAGCTCTGGTAGAAATCTAAACCACAATCGCTCTCATGAGTTCTCCACGGCACAATATGGTCACTGGGAACATACAGCTGTACAGCACAGATCGTAAGCGTTTATGTTCAGTTTATCTTGGTGATAAATAAATAAACACAAACCTCCGCAGGACCACATTGTAGAAGGGAATACAGAGGTCAGAGTGTGGGGGCAGAATTTTGGTCATCTGGATTTTTATGTCGATTTCCTGATTATCCGTCTTCCTCTCTGATTTCAGGTGAACAACCTGGAACAAAGCAAACACACAAAACACACACTGAGCGTTTCACTCGAGCGCTGAGCAGGTCAGGGTGAAATCAACAGCACCATATTTTGTGGTTAAAAAAACATGGACACCGCAGAGCTTCGGTTTCCCCTCATAGTGCCTGAGGAGCGTCTGATTCGCTCAGCTGCACCAGGTGACGCCGCGGCCTCGGAACAAGCTGTGGAGCAGGTGGCACTGAAGCACAAACGACCAATATTTTTCAAATTCGGTTGGGGGCCGTAAGTGTACGGGGCGCGCGTATGAGACGAATTACTCAAGAAGCTGAAGTTGGCGGCTTATTTGAAAACCTGTTTTGCCTTAAATGGGGCAGCAGTTCCCTTCAGGCGCTTGTACGGCTGCCACAATGCCCAGATCAGACTACACAAACTCCCGATTTGCGCAGGATTTTGTTTCAGCCGACAAATTTCCAGCGTTGGGCCCAAACCAGAGCGTCAGGTACAAGACGACATAATTGAATGCCACCAAAGTTAACATACTAAGAACATTATACAAACGTAGCTACCAGGTCCTCTGTATGTACACAGACGCTGTCTGGGACATCCCACGACACCCCGACGGAAAGTCTACGATTATAGAAATCTTTGTATTTTTCTGCCTAGTATGACGTCTCAGGGAAAAGAGGGAGTTGCAGGTGTCAGGTGGAACAACGAAATAGAGAAAACGTTTTCTGAGCTGAGGCAGCAGACCCCCTCGAGGGAGTCCATAAAAAATAAATGTTGATGAGAAAAAGCGTTTATAGCAACTGGTTACATACAGAGAACCTAGTAGCTACACTTATAAAATGTTCTTGATATGTTAACACATTTGTTACCTCAAGTTCTCTTTGAAAGACAGTCAGCCCACACTGTCCTGACGCCCAGGAACGGCTCCACAATCGCTTTCTTTCTTTTCAGAACACAAAACCTCCAGCATCGCACACAGCGCTTCTGACAGTTTATCCTCAACGACAACCTCGTGGAAGGACACGAATGATGATAGATCATTAAACGTCGTTAAAGTCGTAGTGTTGACGGTCTCTCGACCAAGAGACGGCACGGATTTCTGGCACTATGATTGCCTAATCCGACACTGACCATCACAAATAGGGGTGGGAATCTCTAGGCACCTCACGATTCGATTGCGATGCAGAGGGCTGCGATGCGATTATAAAACGATTATCAATGCATTTCAATGCATCTTTTTTTTTACTGATGATGCGTCGCTGTGTCAGTAAAGTATCTTCGAGACGGGATGTGTGCAGCATAGTGCGAAAGCCCTGTTTCGCCACAACTGTGCAGACTGCAGGTCACATAGCAGCGATGCGTTATTCGCATTTATAAGCAGCGCAGTTGGTTTCCTGGTACGTTAAATCTGCAATGAGAGACTGTCAAACACTAAACAGCTGTGAAGATGAAGTCGCTTCTCTTTCGAATTCTCCCAGTCCACCTTTTTACATTTACATTCAGCACCTCAATCAGAATTTAAGGTGGAACGGAAAAATTTGAACAAGAAGCTGGAGAATGAGAAGCAACTTCAGCCTCAGAAAACAGTCGAACACTGAGAGGCCTTTTACAATAAGCTGATCTAGTTTTGAGTAAAGTTTTCTGGTGGAGAAAAGCGGCTATTAAAGCTTAAAGCAGAGCGGAGTAAATCTGCGCTCTCGTTTATATTGTTTAGCCTAAACTAGGACATCAGCACACACTGAGACATACTGGACATTAAATGTTGTGGCTCCCAAGGTGGTTTGATTTTTGTTGAAAGGACAAAATGTCTCTTCTTATCATTTGTGTTGTGACTCCTGATCTAACCTGGCTTTAATGCAGAGGGAGCCGGTCGGATTTCTCACTCATCCAGTAGTGTTTTTGTTATGTGCCGCCACAGACTGTCCGGGTGCCGCACTTACCCACTTCCAAGTTCCGCTATTTGCGTTCCGTCAACATTACGTTGTAAATTAAATATTCAGAAAATCGATTTGACACTTTGTGAATCGATTCAGAATCGTTCACGTCCGCATCGCGATGCATCTAAGAATCGATTTTTTCCCGCACCCCTAAGATAAAAATATCATGTAGTCTGATCCCAGCATGATGTGACTGCTGCACCATTTAAGGTGGAATGGAAAATTCAAACTACTGTTGGCAGGGCTGTCACAATCATGAAATTTTAGATGACTTAATTGTCATAAATAATTGTGGCTATTAAAGTACAAGCCTAAAGTAGCCAAACTGGCTGACTGGCTTATTTATCAGCTTTGTTAATGGTAGCTAACACGGGCTGTACCGTCTGCAGACTGACACAAACGTCTACAGTTAGACAGAATTCAGTGTAGAGTCGAGTAAAGATATAAGCAGAATAAGCTCCATTCTGCTAACCTACATGGTATAAAGGTTTGAAAGCTAACATACAAAAAAAAACACTACTCAGTGCTGCCCTCTAAACAGCAGAGCGCCAAATTAGCTGTTTTGTAAGTCCAATTATGCGTCTCAATTAACGTATTTACTGCTTTCTTTTGTTTGCATGTATTTGCCTCAACTCTCCCAATTCACACTGTTTGTTGCAGCTTAAAATTACTATGAGATGTAATTACTGTCAGCTTAAATAACTAATGTAGGAACTGTGACAGGCCTAATGGTTAGAAAGAGCAGGTGTGGTTTGTGGTGACAGAAGAACTTTGAGTAATCTTTGACTATGATGCACTAAAATATATATGTATCTGTTATGTAGTTAAAAATATGGGACATTTTTATCTCATATGTTAACAAAAGTTGGGTAAATGTTGGATAAAAATGTTTAGAAACCAGCTCCCCTTGGAGAACACAATCTGGTTAGTGCCCCCCCAAAGTAATCTGAAACTGAGACCACTGGCCTGAAGTACTGGGACTCCTGCTGGTTATAACTGTGCTGTTATTTTAATTAGATCAAAATATTTTCTCTTCAATGTTTCACTTACTTTCCTGTGTAAAGCTCTTCACTAAAATGAAAAGCGATACATAAATGAATATGATCATCATCATCATCATCATCATCAACAACTCTCAAAGGGGAATTTCACAGATTTTTCTACATAAATGTTTAAGATGTAAACAGAGTCGTTCAGAGTGGTTTGGTGGGAAACACTCCATTCTACAGAGTCAGAACTGTTCACAGTGGTGGTGATAGGAACCAGACGTCCACCTCTAAAAGCTCCCTCACAGAAAGTTCCTACATGAAATGGTTATGAATTCACTGCCTGATGACTGAGACACTGTTTTATGATAGTTTAGAGAACTTAAACTCCATTCATGGTGGAGGGATACATGCAGGGCGCTGTGAGGCAAAATAGTCCCCAAAGAAAACTTATTATTTCAGATTTTCCACTATTTTCATCATCAACATTCCATATAAGCTCAGAAGACTCGTGTAGGTTCACTGGTGGTTCTGGATAGTAAATAAAATGTCTATATCTGTGTTGTAGTCATGGCGACCCCTGGTTCCCATCACCACCACTGTAAAGACATCTGAACCATTTCACACCGAACCACTCTGAATCTCTCTGAAACACAGAAAAAAGCCCACCCCCAGACTTTACCTCATCGAGTCGTTTTGGCAGGTAAAGGATGGAGCCGTCGAAGGCCACCACTTCTCCTGTAGCTGAGCGATGGTCCCTCATCATACCAAACCGCATGCTGAGCGACTCCACATTCGGACTGACCCGCATCGCACGATCAATACCATCAGAGAGTACATATGCAAAATGAGTAGATAACGATTAACATCAATCAAACAATCGATATCATTAGCATCTGGCTGGCTTGACTAATGTTAGACCACTGAGATTTAAATACTGATTTAATGAGCTGTTATTTTTTAGACCATGATAAATCACTTTACCAGGACACTCCTAATGGGAGGATCAAACCAAAAACAGACTAACTCCCTTCTGGCAGCTGCCACAGACTCTCACACGCAAACTCAAATCAAGCCTACGTGAAAGTGACGTGATACTGGAACACGGCTTCGTTTTTGCAGTGGATCGGGATGTAGTTGGAGCCGATGATGACGGGGTTCCCCTTCGTTCCCGCCTTCCTCAGCGGTTCACTGCACAAAAGCAGAGGAACAGAGTCGTTCAGGCGAACAGGCAACAAATCAATTAACGTCACTCAGAAACTTTCTCTCGCTTTATGGCTCATTTATGCTCCCTTTACGTATGAAAAGAACACGTCCGTTTCAAATGATGTAATCGTCACTGCTCGCGTACTTCCATGAGTCCTTTACGTCGGCAGGGATGTTAAGCAATTCATCCACTAGTATCACTAGTACCAAGTACGAAAGAGCTGTAGACTGTGGTGTCTACCGATGGCTTACAGTAGTGCTGTAGCTGTAAAACCGGGGTTCAACTACACGACTTCTACACCGATTTTAGCCCTGATTCTCAGTCTGAGTCTGAGCTGGTCGGCTCAGATTTTTGGGTCACTCGGAGTCGCCAGTTGGAGAGAGAGTCGAGTCGTGTCTGAGGGGCACAGACTCAGATTTACTGCCTCCCGATCGCCTTTCAGACCAATCAGAGTTTATCAGACTTTTAATTTTTCAACCCGACTCTGAGTGAAATCTAGTTTAAACTGATGAACGACTCAATCTGAACAGACTCCTCCAACAGCCAATGAGAAATGAGTGCGAAAGAAGAAAATACAGCAAGTAAACAAAGAAAAATGTTGAAGTCCCTCTCATGTGGAGTGAAGCTTTTTAATGAGCTGAGTTTAAGGCACAACCGAGTTTAGGTTCTCTGTGTCCACATCAAAGAGAACCTCACCTGGTCCCTCAACACCAACTCCATAGCCAAGAGAGCCCAGCAGCGCCTCTACTTCCCGCAGAGACTGAAGAAGCTCATCTCCCCCTCCCATCCTCACCATGTTCTACAGGGGGACTGTGGAGAGCATTCTGAGCAGCTGCATCATCGCCTGGTTTGGGAATTGCACCGCCTCTGATCGCAAGACCCTACAGCGCATAGTGAGGACAGCTGAGAGGATCATCGGGGTCTCTCTCCCCTCCATCATGGACATCTACACCACACGCTGCATCCAGCAAAGCCACCAGCATCGTGGACGACCCCATCCATCCCTCACACAGACTTTTCTCACAGCTGCCGTCTGGCAGAAGGTACCAGAGCATCCATCACTGCCAGACTCTGCAACAGCTTTGTCCCTCAGGCAATCAGGTTTTTAAACTCACAAGGGACTGAGCCTCTGGACTTGACTTGACTCTTGACTTGAAAACTCTAAAAATACCAACTGATCACATTTTTTAATCCATAATCCTCACTAAACATGTTTACCTGCTGCTTCTTTACTCCGTCAGTGCAAACAGCAGAAAAAACAGCAGCTCCACGTTCGTTTATTTGCGTCTCCTAGTAAGAGGAGACCGCGAGGGTTCGGGCGAGTTCGCCGAGTTCAGCAAGTACTGTTTGGTTCAGCAGCAGCTTCGAAAGTTGAGTAATGTGATCCCCAATATTTCAGCCACACAAAAAATCTGTAAAAACCAGTCGGATAGTGCGAGAAGCCCAGTCCTTCTATAGTCTGCTACGACGCCGTGTAGCGTCCCTAAGGCTTAGGCTTTCAGAGACGGTGCACAAATACGGACGATACGAAGGCAGAGTCAGACAGAAGCTCCACCCGCATCCATATCCGTATCTAACGTTGAGCATAAATGAGCCTTGAGGTCACTTTCACTCGCTCGTTCACCTGGAAGGACAAACTGATTTCTTTTAATCAACATGATCAGCGCAAGATTAATAGAAGTGAACACTGACACTGATACCAGAGAAAGACAAACATCTGCAGATGTTAAATGTTCACAAGTAAATATGCAAAAAATAGGAGACACTATTAATCCCAGGGGATTTTTCAGCATATTTTAAATAAATAACACCTCTAGTATCCTTCTCTCAGTGTGGGGAACCTAATTATTCTCTCTGAAAGTCAGACACCATTTTAAGGTAATAAGGACACAGAAATGTCTAAATTCTAACTTTCACAGAGTTTCACTTCATTTCCCTCCTTCCAGTCACACTGGAAAACTAATTAATATTTTATATTCCACACTTGAAACTTTAAAAGGAGTAACGCCAAGACCACTATCCACCATCAACATCCAAAAGCAGGATTATGTTTTTTATCTTTATATAACCAGGAAAAAAAAAAAAATCTCAGAGATTTTAAAATCTCTTTTGTAGGAGAGTCCTGACCACGATAGACAGCGACAAACAACACATTACATACATAAAACAATAAATTAATTAGCCAGCAACCCATAATTAATCATTTAATACACTGACAGTTACTTCTGACTTTATATGGAATGTTGATGGTGGAAAATAGTGGAGAATCTGAAATAATAAGTTTTCTTTGGGGACTATTTTGCCTCACAGCGCCCTGCATGTATCCCTCCACCATGAATGGAGTTTAAGTTCTCTAAACTATCATAAAACAGTGTCTCAGTCATCAGGCAGTGAATTCATAACCATTTACTGTAGGAACTTTCTGTGAGGGAGCTTTTAGAGGTGGACGTCTGGTTCCCATCACCACCACTGTGAACAGTTCTGACTCGGTAAGTTCCTGTAGAAACCGAACCGCTCTGAGCTGCTCCGTTTACATCTTAACCACTTAATTAGGTGGTAACTTGTGAAAAACTGGTGGAGTTCCCCTTAAAGTCTTTCTGTAACAAGTTCCAGTCAGACAGTGCAGCATAACTAAACGCTTGTTTTCCTAATTCAGTAAATAGAAATACTGAGGGAACAGACCATAATTTCCAGTTCCATTAGACAGCATAATTAACAGAACGCCTATTCTCCACAATGCACTGTGATGCCAAGCTGCACTGAACGTAATCTACAGGTGTCTACAGGTGTGCTCACCGTGCAGCTTCCATCTTCAGCTCTGCTTTAGCCTGGCAGCTCCCTGGGGTCACCGAGACGTCCACAGAGACGGGAGATGCATCTTTAGGGGTGACTGGGATAGCGGAGGGGGCGTCAGGTCCAGGAGGAAGCGCAGGTGAGACTGTCGGACCTCTACCGAAACCAACAGGAGGCATCGCAGCTCGTCCAACACCAATCAGTCCACGGCCCACAAAACTGAAACAGAGTATGGATATCAGCAAAAATACAATCAGCTGTGCAGCTATAATTAAACTATTAAACGACCACATCTATAATATACCTCCAATGATGTATATTTTGTTTACATCCAGGTAACACAGGTTTGTTCAGACGGCCAGCCCAAAGCCGATTTTTGACATATCCAGATTGCATCTGGACTGATTTTTGATATTCTGGACAGCAAAAAAACACATTGAATCCAGGATTGGAGGTGGTTTGAAATGTGACTCCAGTCCGATTTTTACAGATGCGTCTCAGTCTGGACGCTCAAATCAGATTTCAAAGCGTCTTTTTCGTCACTCGCAACACGACAAACAGCGACGATGTCGAATCCAGAGTGATGCAGTGCTGGGATTCAAGAAGAGCTCCAAAGATTCATGATTATGAAGAGTTCTGAAGAGTTTGGAGGGGAGATGATGCTCCTCCATCTCTCCTGCATCCATGTTTGAAATTCGCATCACCAGCGTAGCTACGTAGATACTGACGCATACGTCGTTACCACGGCAACCCATGCAGATAGACTGGTGATGTCTGGACACACAAATCTGATCTGATAACTTACAGATAACAGAGCGGACAGGCGACTCAAAAGATCTGACTTGAGAAATCTGAACTGCCTGCAGTCTGAACACAGACTAAACGCTTAAAAAGTGTTAAATAAAATTACTGGACTATTAAAGTTAAAACAGGACTGTTTGGCGTTCATCCAAACACCATCATCAGTTGTAAAGGTGTGCCAAAACATGTCAAAGAGGCGTGGCCCTCACCAAACAGAGGAGGAGTCTGAGACATCACCTGCCCCCTTCTATCTTTGCAGTTTACATTTACACTTAACATTTATTAACCTCTTCAACTCCTTGAGACCACCGGTGGTTCCAAAACGCACCTCGTCATATTCTTCATAACTTTCATATTTCATAAGCTACATTCTAAAGGTGGGGGTCGTATGAGGCTGTAACTGTCTTCTGTCCAGTCAAATAGATGGTGATGTAATTTTAAACCCTTATAATAAAAGAAGCTGAACTCACAATTTTTTGTTCTACTGAAAGTCGACCCATTTTTCCACAAATCTGGGCTATAAACTATAAACAGATGGCGTCTCTTCAGTGATCTGATCTGTAAACATTACTTTTATAAAATAATACAAAAGATTTTTGGCTTTCGGCAGTAAATTGTAAGCTTATAGCAATATGTGTATCATAAAACACATGTTCTGTTAATCTGAGAGGAACTTTTACAAAAAATAAATAAATAAATAAAATAAAAACTACATTTATTTCATGCAGTTACTGAATAATTTGCCTTACGATTTGGTCATGGAAATTCAGATGGACAAACCAAAATATACTCTGTAGAATAAGAGGTGACAAGTGATTCCAAAGTGTGAACAGTGGTGCAAACTGGCACTTTTACAAGGTGCATCTTTGATCAATGTTATGTTGTTTATATTGTGCACTTGCAATTAGACAAAAAAACAAATAACAAACGACAGAGTCCTGCTCTTCTTGGCTCTTCCTAACTCTGATATATGCTTGGTCTGACTAATGAAAACGCTAAAGCTACAAACAGATGAAGCGGATTTGAGATAAAAGGAACATAAACGCTGTTTATGGATTCAAATTTGGAGGCTGCAAACCACAGACATATTCATGCAACGCTGTTCACTACAGCTCGCTGTCTAACGAGGAACAGAACAAACATAACAGACAGAAAACAAAGCACAGCCTCCAGTTAGGAAGACGACAGTCTGAGCCGGGTCTCCTTGTATAATTTACAAGTAAACAAACAACAAAAAAAAAAAAAACGTAATCGCACAGTCCGTCAGCAACGTGCCTCAGCTCCACTGACCACACAGTTCCACTCTGTAGATCTACAGACTGTAGTCCATCTGTTTCTCTGCATACTCCGTTAGCCTGTTCTTCAGTGGTCAGGACCCCCATGGACCCTCACAGAGCAGGTACTATTTGGGTGGTGGGTCATTCTCAGCACTGCAGTAACACTGACGTGGTGGTGGTGTGTTAGTGTGTGTTGTGCTGGTCTGAGTGGATCAGACACAGCAGTGCTGCTGGAGTTTTTAAACACTGTGTCCACTCACTGTCCACTCTATTAGACACTCCTACCTTGTCGGTCCACCTTGTAGATGTAAAGTCAGAGACGATAGCTCATCTGCTGCTGCACAGTTTGTGTTGGTCATCCTCCAGTACTTCATCAGTGGTCACAGGACGCTGCCCACAGGACGCTGTTGGCTGGATATTTTTGGTTGGTGGACTATTCTCAGTCCAGCAGTGACACTGAGGTGTTTAAAAACTCCAGCAGCACTGCTGTGTCTGATCCACTCAGACCAGCACAACACACACTAACACACCACCACCACGTCAGTGTTACTGCAGTGCTGAGAATGATCCACCACCCAAATAGTACCTGCTCTGTGAGGGTCCATGGGGTCCTGACCACTGAAGAACAGGGTAAAAGGGGGCTAACAAAGTATCAGAGAAACAGATGGACTACAGTCTGTAACTGTAGAACTACAAAGTGAGACTATACGGTCAGTGGAGCTGATAAAATGGACAGTGAGTGTATTCGCCTATTCAGCTCACAGCTGTTTAGCCCCACCCATTTACACTGTTATAAGGAGTGTTTCAACCTAGAGGAGAGGCTGAAACACTCAGGACAGCCAATCAGAACAGAGCTCATTAACATATGTCAGCCTTACACAACACAGCAGGTTTACTAAAAGGATAAAGAGAGACACATAGAAATTAATTATGACTATTTTTGGTATATTAAAGTACACAAATGTCATCAGTGACCCTCCAGTAAAACGACAGTGTTTACATAAAAAGATTTTTGCCAGTCTGATTGAATACATTGCGATTACAGATCAATACTGAGGTGTTTATTCTCACTCTACTCAACAATCTGATGAAAATCTCTGATTACATGCTCAACACAAGTAATCTACCATGACAACCAGCATCGCGTGAGTCCAGTCAGAGTGAGATGAGCAGCAGTGAGCAGTGCTTGTGTTTTTAATTGCTTTAAAATGATGTCAGACTCAGGAAAACGTCCTTCACATGTCCTTATTAAAGGAGGCCGAGAGGAAGACGTCGTGTTCTGAGACACATAAGCTGGACGTCCGTCCCACCGCCGTCTTTTAAAGATCAGAGCATAAACTTCGTCTCCTCTGCAGACCAGTTTCTGCTCCGCCATGTTGAACGGTATAAACTTTCACTATGACGCGACGAACATGATCAGAACGGACTTAAACTTTCCGATAGGGAATGTAATCAGATACAGGCGTTTACACGGATATTATTCTTCTATTTAACGGATTATTTACAGGATTACCCACCTCGATCAGTCAGATAGACACTGTATTCTGAATGGTGTTTACATTGATGTATTCTATTCCGATTAGTCGGATTATTAACAGATTATCAGACTGCTTGTAAACATGACTAACGTGAGAAAAACGTAAGATATGGGCCCTTTAAAGATTTTTTTTTCTGGTTTTGCCTTTTCTCATCTCTGCACTCGTATATTGTGCTGTGTAATGCTGGGACTGGGTCCGTCTGAATGTCAACAACGAGACATTTGGCATCTGTGGCTCCCAATAAATAAATAAATAAATAAATAAATAAATAAAAAGAAATAAAACACCCCTCCGCGGATCATTCCGCTCACCGCTCCACTCTGCCGAACGCTGTGTGTCCGATTTGCCACACACATGTGAACATAGCATTACCATGTACCCCATAAGCTCAGACTGGGGGGGCTGGTTCTGACATGTAACGAGGTAATATTTGGTAAAAGCTCTGGCAAAACCTCTGATGCAAAAACTGCTGGTTGAACCAGACAAGCTTTCCAACATAACCGCACCTCATCTCAGAACTATCGTAAAACAACGAGTGCGTTGAGACGCACCAATCATGATCAGATCTCTGCACTTATCCGATTATTCAAGCGGTAAACACCATAATCCGATCTAGAAATCCGATTAAGAAATCTGATAAAGAGGCTGGATTTTAGCTCAGTAATCAGATTTCTCAGTGCTGTAAACTCTTACTCTGATTTCTTTCGGATTTCTCAGTCTGCGCATGCACGAGATCAGACGGTGGTACCAGAAATAAGCGAGAACCCAAACAGGAAATAAAGGATTTAAATATTCTTGATTTTCTAGATGATGTTTGTTCATATTTTCAGCTGAAGTCGCGCAATGTTTAAAAAAAAAAGCCACAACATGAAGTTTGAGTTTTACGTTACGTTTACGTCGCGTCTTCTTCTGTGAGTTTATTGGCTGGTTGCAAAGCAGAAATCTGATTACTGTCTGACTCATGCAGACCCGGAGTTTCCCCATTATCTGATTACTCAACTGCATATAAAGGTGTTGATCGGATTACTGACAAAATCAGATCTTCTGCAGTTATCAGATTATTGAGTGCATGTAAACGCACTCACTAGCCACGTTTACATGCAGCCTGATAATCCGTTAATAATCCGACTAATAGCTCAATCGGAATAGAATACGTCCATGTAAACACCTCAATCGGAATAGTCTAGCCCGATTGAGGCTGTTAAATAGAAGAATAATATCCGTGTAAACGTCTGTATCTGATTACATTCCCTATCGGAAAGTTTAAGTCCGTTCTGATCATGTTCGTCCCGTCATAGTGAGAGTTTATACCGTTCAACATGGCGGAGCAGAAACTGGTCTGCAGAGGAGACGAAGTTTCTGCTCTGATCTTTAAAAGGCGGCGGTGGGACGGACGTCCAGCTTATGTGTCTCAGAACACGACGTCTTCCTCTCGGCCTTCTTTAATAAGGACATGTGAAGGACGTTTTCCTGAGTCTGACATCATTTTAAAGCAATTAAAAACACAAGCGCTGCTCACTGCTGCTCATCTCACTCTGACTGGACTCACGTGATGATCGCTGTCATGGTAACGTTTACTCTAAGCGCTACTCCACGCATGCGTGTCATTTTGCATCAGATTAGTTGTAGTGAGCATGTAAACGAAGATTTTCCATCACATTGTTGAATAGAGTGAGCATATAAACACCTCAGTCTGAATCTGTATTCAGATTGTATTCAATCGGATTGGCAGAAATCTTTGCATGTAAAAACATCCAGTGTCTCAGACGTCAGGCAGTGAATTCATAACCATTTCATGTAGGAACTTTCTGTGAGGGAGCTTTTAGAGGTGGACGTCTGGTTCCTATCACCACCACTGTGAACAGTTCTGACTCGGTAAGTTTATCTAGAACAGAGCGTTTCACACCAAACCACTCTGAACGACTGTTTACGTCTCAACCATTTAATTATGCAGAAATTTAGAAAAACTGGTGGCGCTCCCCTTTAAATCTGTTTAACTACACAGAATAGCTGTGTTGTGCCCTATTGTGAAAAACTAGGTCTCCCCTTTTAACTTTTGACGGGTAGTTTATGCATCTGGAGTGCGTTAAATCCAAAGAATCGCAGGCAATTCCAGAAGGATTCAAAATCATCAAAGCTGTAAAGAAGCTGATCGTGTACTGCAGCTGTTCTCTAATGTAAAAGGCTTGTCTGCGGCACCGCAGCTTTCACTCTAAACTCCCGGTTGTTACAAATATCACTGATTAAATCTTCCCAATTAATCAGCTATTTAAATTCCCAAACTGACACTGTACGCATTTATATGCACTGATGCCACATTTACTTTAAAGGACACGCCATAAAAAATGCCTTTACAATTTATTTGTAAATGCAGTTTGAGTTTCAAACATACCACCCACTGCAGTCTATACAGACCGTACATAAAACTCAGCTACAAAACCGCCTGCTTGGCATTCATGCTTTTGTGACATCATAAAAACCATCATATTTACATGTATCCGCCTATGTAGCCTACAGCGGTTCAGCCCTGCCCAGTCCTTCTGGAGCTAAAAGGAGTGTTTCAGCCAGAACAGCTTTTTTTAACAAGGCACAATACAGGACAGCAAATGAAAACAGAGCTCATTTACATATCTCAGGTACGGTAATAAGAGTCTGTTTAATCCTGAGGGATAAAGGAAAGCTGAAAAACGAACATGTAAAAATAAAATTATGGCTGTTTTTGGTACATAAAGCCTCAGAAATGTTTAAGTGACAAGTAAGTTTTTTTAATATTCACAAGTATTCTTTCAGATATTCCACTATTTTCCATGGTTCTGGATAGTAAATAAAATGCCTATATTAGTGTTGTAGTCATGGTGACCCCTGGTTCCTATCACCACCACTGTAAAGAAATCCAACCCTTTCACATCACAACGTTTAAAAAAAAACTTTGCTTTGTCAATTTCTACAATAATCAACAGTAACTAGACTTTACCTGGTGCCACGCAGCATCACACCCTCGGGGGCAGTTTCTTCTCCACCTATTGATGGAGACCCAACACCGGGCACAGGGGGCGCAAATTCACCTACTGACCCGCGTCCTTTAATAGAGAGTAAAACACACACTTAGACTTCACACATCACGATTCTCTCCTGATAGCTTTTAAACTGATTCACAAATCAAAGTCAGTTACACACATACAATTAAAAACCATGCTGGGGGTCCCAGGATGTGACTCTCAGAATTTCCTATTCAACTTAAAAGCCAAGACAGATTTTTATGGACGAAAAAAACAAGTTGTCAGACGAACACACACATATTACTGTCTTCTTTCACACTGAGTACAAAACTGACGGACTGCGACGCTGCGCAGAATTATTAAGCAGACCTCTTTCGATTTTCTTCGTTGTACAGATGCGTTAAAAGTCAGGCTGACCAATCAGAGCTCCGCTGTCATGTCAAATATGCATCAGGACCCCACTGTGGCGTGTAGCAGAGCACAACAGCACATATGACAAAGAAATGTAATAAATGCATAAAAATGCAGAGGTTAAAGAAAACGTGGCGGACCACAGCTGAAAGGCTCTGAATGATGGTCAGTACTTTACTGTAACTGTAGCAGAGCCAAATCTGGAACTGCAAACTATTAGGTTCTGTTGCTAATGACTAGACATGGGCAATGTGGCAAAAATACTGTATCGCAATACTCCAAAATATTTTATATGCATCACGATATTTCGATAAAATAGAGAGTTAAATGCCACACATACGTACATATACGTTGACGCTGCCTCGGCTCCTGTAGGAGGCGGTCTTGTATGAGCTGTGAGCGTTTGGTTGCAGGGCTTAAAAGCAAAATAAATTAATCATTATTGCTGCTACTCAAGCAATGCCTCTCTTCTTCCTCTTCCGCCTTCTTCCTGCGTTTTCAGACTGTTTAGACAAGACAAAAAAAAGCTCGGACTTGGTGCGACGGTCCCACTACGTTAAAAATCGATTTTTTTTTGGGCTACTTTCTTGGTGTGAAAAAGCCTGAAGTGTCCTGATGGCTCAAATGAGCTGTAAAATTACGAAAATATAAAACTTCATGCTTTCACACTGGTATTTACAGCTGAACTGCAGAGCAACAGAAAACCTCGATTTTTTACAATATAAATCATGCAGACAAGATTCTATCAATCACAGAACATCTAACAGTCTGACGTTTCTCCAGCAGGGGGCGCTATTAGCTCATAAGCTCATAAGTATAAGCTTTTGTGTGTGCGTCATTTAAAGAGAAGGAACAGCCACAAATGTACATGTTTGCAATAATAACTTTCAAAACAAGAAATAGTTTTTAGAAATGTTTAATTAAGTACTCAATGTTAGATTATTTAAATGTGATGTTCATTAAAGACTTTCAATAAATCAGTTACTGAAAACATGAATATATATGACCTACATTAATGCAAACACACACATTCACATATGTACAAATATTTATATGTATACACACACACACACACACACACACACACACACAGACACACACACACACACACACACACACACACAGACACACACACAGACACACACACACACACACAGACGTGCGCAAATCATGGGTACAGTCGGTTAAAGAATAGTTTCTTTACAAGGTCAGCATAATTAGGACTGATTAATTGGATTTAGTGCAGAGCAATTAATAGAACAGTGAATAAAAATCACTGTAGTTTATTATTATTACTATTTTGTTTATTATTAGTTGTATTATTGTTATAGTAATTTTATATGTGGCAATAAAGGTTCTGTTTTGTCGGTTCCAATTTATTAAATCTTGGAAAAACTAAATATCGTGATGCGTATCATGTGTATGGTCAAAACTGTCTTAAAGTATCACGGTACAATATGTTCGCCCGTATATATCGCCCGTCCGTCATAACAGGTGGCCGTAACCTGCACACTTGATAATATATTTAATTTGGGGTTTTAACTTTGGACTTTCAGGCCAGCTCACCAACAGAAACTGCTCCTCTGCCCCATGTTGTGGCCGGTTCAATGCCCATTCCTCTCATCATGGACACCAATGACGATCCTGGACCGGGGACATCAGCCTACACACACACACACACACACACACACACACACGCACACACACACGCACACACACACACACACACACACACACACGCACACACACACACACACACACAAATAAACCCTTGTTCTGTAGTGCACGTTTACAGGAGCCCACTATCACAATCACACTCACCTGAACTGGCAGCGGGGTTTCTTCCTTCTTCTCTTCCTGTAGACCGGGCGTGGCCTCAGGTACAGGTAATGGCTCCGTTTCACTCTTAACGGGAGGTGCAGGCTCTGCAGGAGGCTCCACAAACAGAGACATCCCTCTGCCTATTCCAACCTGAGGCAGAAGAGAAGACAGCAGAAACCCTCTCGCTCTTCCCAGCCTCTGTTCTTCCACCGGCGCCGGCATCCCCCTCGCGAAGCCCACCTGAGGCTGGGACTGGGCAATAAAGCAAACACATCATTTATAAAAACATATACACACATATAATCTCTTAGGCTTCACTTAATCCAACTAAAACAGGACACATAACTCAAACTGTTTACAAGTATTTATCTGTAACGTACGAGTGCGGCGTTCCACACAGAACTTCAGCACTTCCTGCGTTTCAGCAGTTACTGCTGAAATACTCAGTCATATAGGATGTGATGGTTGGTTTGACTCAGCAAAATCTGCCTAGCAACCAAAATGCATTTTCTTTGGTCATATTTGGGCCAATAAGTTTAAAGAAATAAGAAAAAATGTCATCAGTTTGAACCGTCAGTATTCCAAACTCCAGCTTCCCCGGATGGATCGGTTTTCCCTTCAGTGTTTTCCTGCAGTTTATTTTAGGTTTTAGACTGTTCCGCGGAACACTGAAGCGTGCGGAACACTGAAGCATGCGGAACACTCTAGAGTACGGAACACTCTAGAGTACGGAACACTGAAGCGTGCGGAACACTGAAGCGTGCGGAACACTGAAGCGTGCGGAACACTGAAGACTGTTCCGCGGAACACTGAAGCATATGTAACACTAGAGTATGGAACACTGAAGCGTGCGGAACACTCGAGTACGGAACACTGAAGCGTGCGGAACACTGAAGTACGGAACACCGAAGCGTATGGAACACTGAAGCGTGCGGAACACTGAAGTACGGAACACCGAAGCGTATGGAACACTGAAGCGTGCGGAACACTGAAGCATACGGAACACCGAAGCGTGCGGAACACTGAAGCGTGCGGAACACTCGAGTACGGAACACTGAAGCGTGCGGAACACTAAAGACTGTTCCGCGGAACACTGAAGCATACGGAACACTAGAGTATGGAACACTGAAGCGTGCGGAACACTCGAGTGCGGAACACTGAAGCGTGCGGAACACTGAAGCGTGTGGAACACTGAAGCGTGCGGAACACTCGAGTACGGAACACTGAAGCGTGCGGAACACTAAAGACTGTTCCGCGGAACACTGAAGCATACGGAACACTAGAGTATGGAACACTGAAGCGTGCGGAACACTCGAGTACGGAACACTGAAGCGTGCGGAACACTGAAGCGTGCGGAACACTGAAGTACGGAACACCGAAGCGTATGGAACACTGAAGCGTGCGGAACACTGAAGCGTACGGAACACTGAAGACTGTTCCGCAGAACACTGAAGCATATGGAACACTAGAGTATGGAACACTGAAGCGTGCGGAACACTAAAGACTGTTCCGCGGAACACTGAAGCATACGGAACACTAGAGTATGGAACACTGAAGCGTGCGGAACACTCGAGTACGGAACACTGAAGCGTACAGAACACTGAAGCGTGCGGAACACTCAAGTAAGGAACACCGAAGCGTATGGAACACTGAAGCGTGCGGAACACTGAAGCGTGCGGAACACTGAAGCGTGCGGAACACTCGAGTACGGAACACTCGAGTACGGAACACTGAAGCGTGCGGAACACTAAAGACTCTTCCGCGGAACACTGAAGCATACGGAACACTAGAGTATGGAACACTGAAGTGTGCGGAACACTCGAGTACGGAACACGGAAGCGTACGGAACACTCAAGTACGGAACACCGAAGCGTATCGAACACTGAAGCGTACGGAACACCGAAGCGTATGGAACACTGAAGCATGTGGAACACTGAAGCGTGCGGAACACTCGAGTACGGAACACCGAAGCGTATGGAACACTACAGCGTGCGGAACACTGAAGCGTGCGGAACACTGAAGCATGTGGAACACTCGAGTACGGAACACCGAAGCGTATGGAACACTACAGCGTGCGGAACACTGAAGCGTGCGGAACACTGAAGCGTGCGGAACACTGAAGCGTGCGGAACCAATATTTTAATTCATAATCTTGGTTTTGACATTTTGCATATCCTGTCAAAACACACTCTTAAAAAAGACGGTTCTTCAGGGTTCTTTAGTTAAATAGTTAGTGAAATGGTTCTTCAGATTGCCGGTGAATGTGCATTACATGGTTCCATATAGAATGATTTTGAAAATGGTTCTATATAGCATCAAAAAGAGGTCTGCTATTGTTAAGCCCTCGAGCTTGTAATAAAAGAAGAACCCTTTTTTGGTGCTATTCAGAACCACATACAGCACATTCTCCATTCCTCTGAAGACTAATGGAGCACGCAGCAGTTACACAGCGGCATCAAGGAAAAGTCTGTTATTTCAATTAAAGCATTTCAAAAAGGCAGAACAGATAATTAAACATAATGACTCCATTTAAAATATTCATGTCGATGCATTTTCAGCGTCAGCATCACTGATTATGCTGATGAACTGCGGCAGATCTGGTCATTTAAAATATCAACAATCGTTCTCCTAAATCTCACACTGCACTGTTACACAATGGGATCACGACAATGATCAACCCTACCTGAGTCTCAGTGACTGGAAGCTGAACCCCTCTCCCGAACGGTGACGCTGGGGTTTCAGGAGCCGCAGCAGAAGCTCTACCTCGACCTCTCCCAGCATCCAGCTCTTCCGCAGCCACGGCCAAACCTCGGGCTCGACCCACAGGAGGCTGATCCGCAGGAAAACCGCGACCTCCGGCCGGCTGGAGCCAGGGCATCCGCGCGGCCCCAGGTGGTCTGTTTGGATCCATCTCCTCTTATTGTACTCTTCAATCCAGAACCTGCTAGAATAAACAAAAGAGGAGATCCAAGAGATCCCATTCCATAGACCAGATACCAGCCTGTTTATCTGTTCACTAGTTAGGTTTATTCTATCTATCATTTTATTCACTTGTGAGTGTAGCTGCCCTTTACTCTGTGCGAACATCTCATGATGAACGGATGAACAAGAATGGTCCTAAATTGATTGATTATAAAAGTTAATCTAATTTTAACACACATTACAGGGAAATTCCACACTTTCCCCATAATTCAGTGTCTGAGTCATTCAGAGTGGTTTGCTGTGAAATGGTCCATTGTATACATACAGGGCTGACATCATTTCATAGTCTAATAACAGCCAATTCTCCCTCAAATGATCTCAAATTTGTTTTTCAGGGTGAAGAACGGCGTTCACTAGAAATGAAAAGGCGTTTAGTGTGTTAGAATCTGCTCGAACACAGTCAAACGAGAGCACAGCGTGGATTTTCCAGAAAATTCAGTACAAATGCACCAACTGGAAAGCAGATTTGGACATGGCACAAACAGTTCAAAGAGGAAGGCTGTCTGTGCAGGACAAAGGGGTCTGGACGACCACCAGTATCGGAAGATAGTACATGTGTGAAGCTGTGGAATTGATTATCAAATCTACATCCCTCTGAATGTTGATAAATAAATCTTGTGTTGTTCAACATGAAGCCTGTTTAATTTCGTTTGCCAGGACATGTAGTTACTCAGATACTCAAATGTGGTCAGTTTGTTTGGGACACCCTGTACTTATGTTGATATGAGTCTCTACAGTCAACCCTTTCACACTAAACCACTCTTTACAAGTCCAACACGTCCAACACGTTTAGCATCACAACAACCCGAAAATACTGGATGAAACGCGCTTAAAAGCGCTTAATGCACAACAGCAACCCAAAACTGGGGGCTTTGTGAGTCCAACCCTGACAGGAAACCCAGCCAGGTTAACGTTAGCTAACGAAGCTCACCCTCACGTTAGCTACACAAATAAACTTAAAAAACGGACAAACCGTCGAACTTTTCTCGCAGTTTTGTGTTTAGATTACTAGTTAGGTAACTTATACTAAGTTTCAAATTCTGTTAGTCGATGAAAACTAATTATGAAGCCCTGAGTTGTTATTTTAACGTCAGTTTGCTTGCGCTGTCTCCGTTAGCCGCTCACCTGTAGTTCCCGCCTCAATCTAGTGATGGGGAGTCGATTCCGAAGGAGTCGATTCTTCGACTCCAGCACGTCTGTTAGTCAGGGGCGACTCAAGGCCAATGATTCTAAGAGTCGAAATGCTTGGAGTCGACACTTCGACTGTTTTTTTTCATCGTAATCGACATTTTGACTGAGGCGAATATAAATCGAAGTCTGAGTTTGATTCGTGTTTGTTTAGTTAGCAGCTATAAACAATGCTAAACTCTGCTCACAGAAACGTTTTCGATCTTCCCTTTCCTAGGGTCAGGATCGTAGTAAACAATCACTCGAAACAGTAGGAAAGAAAAGCAAAAACTAGCTATGTTTTTCACAAAGCGTAGATCAGATTTGCTTCGTTTTTTCTAATTTTTTAGGTTTCCGTTCCACCTTAAATGGTGATGCGGCCACCCAGGTAACTGCTACATACTTAAGGTGGACCGGAAGAGTCGAATAAGAGGCTGGCGAACACGAAGCCCTTCAGCTTCATTTTCGACACACCTGTGAGCTGCGGCCACTCAAAGCCGGTAAATGTTAGGCTGGTTTAGTCTCTGCTGTGTCGCTTCATCTCCGGATCCGGAGCTGAACCTGTTAAAAAGAAGTGGAGTCGAGGAGTCGATTCCAGCGGCAGCGAGTCGGAGTCGACTCCAGAACTCGTGCATCACTGGCTGCGGTAACCGCCTCAATCCGGATCACAAGTTCAAGTGTGAATCCGCGAGACTTCGAGCGTGAAGCCCACGTGATTATAAACTATAGCCTTTTGCACGCAGAACGGCAATAATTTAAATTCAGGCCTGCCTTCAAAGGTTCTTTAGTGAAGGCAGTGGTTCCGTTTAGAACCATTAGTTCTATATACCTATCTGCATGCTTAAATGGTTCAAAATGGTCGAATGGTTCTTCAGATTGACGGAGAATGTGTTGGTTCTATATAGCACCAAAAAGGGCTCTGGTATTGTTCGGGTATCAAGCTTGTAACAGTAGAACCCTTCTTTTTATACAGAGCCACAATCTGAAGAACGATTTCATCATGCAAAGAACCATTTAAGCAAGAAATGGTTCTATGGACCTAATGGTACTCGAGGGTGTTCTCCCCTGTCTCTGAGAACACTCGTAGCTGAAGCTAACGATAATTTAGCGTATTCTTTACTCTTCCAGGTGAAAATAAAGTCACCATCAATACGAGCTCCACAATGCACTGCACTCTTAAAAATGAAATGGTTCTATACAGAACCAAGAACCGTTTCATGCTTAAATGGTTCTTTGCATGGTGAAATGGTCCTTCAGATTGAATTACTACATTGAGGCCATAAATAATATATTAAGGCCCTAAATTTCTAAACTGAGGCCACAATTTACTATATAGAGGCCACAAATTACTATTTTGAGGCAACTAATTACTATGTTGAAACCACAAGCTAGTATATTGGGGCCACAATTTAATATATTAAGGCCACAAATTAATATATAAAGGCCACTAATTACAACATTGAGGCAAATTATTACGATATTGAGGCAACACATTACTATACTGAGGCCACAAATTGCTATGGTGTGGCCACAAATTACTATATTAAGGCCACAAATTGTTCTATTAAGGACATGAACTGCTATATTGAGTCCACAAATTAATATGTTGAAGTTACCAGTTAATGTAACAAGCCCACAAATTACTATATTGAGGTCATAAATTGCTATATTGAGGCCACGTGTTAAGAGAAACCTAAATTCTGGCCTCAATCTATTAATTCATGGCCATGCCTTATTAAAAATGAATCAGCATGTCACCGTCAGGGCTCTGTACTTTCTCTTCAGCAGTACTGAGTATTTCTGTAGTGTTTGTATTGCAGCGCGGGAGGCAGTGCAGAGTGAGTGTTTCACTGTGCAGAGCGACTCTCTGCTTCTCTGCGCTCACGACTATAAACTCTTTAATCAATAGAATCAGTGCACAGTGAATGCAGTGATTACCGGAATCAGTGAAGGCTGATGCAGGCAGGTCGAGCCCGGCTTTGGTTGAATATTCATCATTTCGTCAGGAGTTTCTTCTGTAATGAAGGTGTTAAAACTGAGTCTGTGCTGCAGTAACAGCCTCTACTCTTCTGGGAAGGCTTTAGAGTAGATGTTGAACATTGCTGTGAGGATTTGATTGAGGTCAGGTACTGATGTTGGATGGTCAGTTCTGGATCACTAACTCATCCCAGAGGTACTGGATGGAGCTCCATCACTCCAGAGAACCCAGCTCCACTGCTTCACAGCCCAATGCTGGGGGGCTGGGCACTGTGCAGGGCTGGATAATCAGCAGATGAGCTGGATCAGGTGCAGTGGAGCCCCAGTGTGTTAAAGGACCCATATACTACATTTTTCTTGTGTTTATTCTTTTCCTTGAGGCCCACTTATAACATTTGTGTTTTTTATGTATGAAAAATGGTCATAATTCATTTCTACATGACCCTTTTCCAACCTCTCCTGACTTAAACAAGCTGTTTTTGGTACTGTACCTTTAAGACAGATGTATGTAAATGAGCTTTGTTCTGATTGGCTGCCCTGTGTTGTGCTTTATTAAAGCACTCGGAGACGAAACACTTCTTATGACCTCACGTCTGCCCTTTTTCCCTCCCTGCTGCTTTGTATTAAACCGTCTCTTGTTCTAACATATGCTCTGGGTAAAGGCCTAAACTCAGATCCTCGTGCGGTTGTGACGAAGATTTTGAATAAATATTCCCTTAATCAGTAATCAAATAGATTAGATGTTGTAATCAATAACCAAATAGGAAGTATTGCCTAACAGAGAATATTAACTCTCTCACAGAGGGTCGGCCTTAGTCTGTCTGCATAGGAGATTCTAGACACTGGAAATGCCCTGGGTTCACAGACAGGCCTGTGTGTACCTACTGACCCAGTGAAGAGAGGGGCAAGTTGACCTTGAAAGGTCGAGCAGGCTGGTAAAAACCTGTTGAAGCCACTTTTGAGGAGTGAGCTCATCATGCGATGGACGAAGAGATGCACCTATTAGAGAATGAGCTAATATAAAATTTGAGAAGTAAGGCAGGGGGGATATCAAACCACCCCTGATAAATGGTGTAAACTGTTGTTTGGAACACTGCATTTGCGCAGTTGGGGTCTCTCGAGACCCTGTGCCACCTGATGCTGAAATAAAGAAGCCCTTTTTCTCCCTTCCACAAGAACTCAGCAGCTGAAGTCTTTTATTCTACTTTCTCTTATTTTTGGTTGAATAACCTTTTTATTTTTGTTTATTTTATTTTTGTTTATTTTTGTAAGTGATTAAGACAATAATTCGAACAGAACCACAGCACAGAATGGTTTAGATTTTAAAAACCATCATATGTCGGGGCTTTGGGCAAGGAAGAAAATAGCTCTTGGTCCTGACAGTTGCCAAGGTGAATTAACGTTGTTTTTCTTGCGCTTCAGTCTCACGCAAGAATCTAGACTATTTGCATCAACACTGCATGAAAAATATACACGTTTCTAATAGACTTCATATCTCTGTGCTGTGATCTGCGTCCGCTGGACCTTCTGATCCTGCTCTGGGAAGATTTTGGGAGATACATTTTATGATATTCTTAGAATTATAATTCTGTGTCCTCCTAATTTTAAGTTTAATTCTTAATGAAGTTTTTGCTCGTTAGTTTCCACATATGCACTGTATGGACTGGGTGGTGAATGGTGACTTTAACATTGTTTACATCCGTTCTCGATGATATGGGCCCTTTAATTAAAATAAGTGCTAATACAGCTTTAATACCGTTGCAGAGGCACCTAGTGAGATAGATT